ATAAGTGAAGACAGTTGAAAATAACACAATCGCTTGCTGTGGGCTCGTAGCGTTGGAATTACTTGACATTATCTAAGCAATACTCACTCACTAAATAACATTGCGTCCAGAATAATTTATAAATTTCATTTATAGTTTACAAAATCTATTTGCTTCTTGATGTCCTGAACTGGTTACTCAAAATTTTTATAGGGTTTCGACAGAAAAACTTTATTTCAATAGAACTCGTTTTTTAGGGTTCCGTACCCAAACGGTAAAACGGGACCCTATTACTAAAACTCCGCTGTCTGTCTGTCCGTCTGTCACCAGGGTGTATGTTAAGAACCGTGATAGATAAAAAGAATAAAACATACTGATTGACGTGATACATGATTTTTTTGCTTGACATGATTGGGTTTGCATTTTTATGGATCGCACTTGGCTGGTTTTTGAATGATTACGTCGTTGTCATTGTGGATTTGCCCTAAGGCCCAATAGGCCCGGGCATAGGGCGGCCACGTATTAGGGGCGGCCAATCGTGACAAAAAATCACTGACGATTATAAGATATATGGTACGCGCTGAGATAGGGGCGGCTGGAACTTACCACTTGGGCTGGGGCCTAGCGCGGCCAAGACTACAAATCCGCCACTGGTTCTCATTGTTATTTATTGACGAGTGTACAAGCGTTCGTACGCTGGCTGCGTGATTAACTATATAACCTTTTACCAAACAATTAACTTTGAGACACGATTTGTATAACACGTGTAATGATTACAATAAAATTAAAATTAGTTACGTAGTGATTCAGACTAATTGTTAAGACATTAAGCGAATGAATTTATTTCTTTAATGCAGATAATATTATATTAAAGAAATATATATTTTGAACATGGATTTTATCTTCACTGTAACACCTTGTTGAGTTGAACGCGTTATATAGAACTTTGTTATCAATCCGGTGTTTTTTTTTTTAAAAGCGGATCTGCCTGGCGCACAGTAAATGTACCTGAGTACATTCGTAATATAAAAACTTGCAACTCGCATTGCTGACGACGAACTCGACCGCTCGCGTTTTACCTTCGGATGCGCAAATGGCTGTACAATTTTTTTTCACCGTTTAAGGTTATTCTTTCTCGAGGGTTCCCCCTAATTTGTATGACAGCCAGCTGCACGCAAGGAGCAGTTCAATAGTTGAAGTACCATAGCTTTAAATGGTGACTTGAGGCAGACGTAGGCATGCTCTCAGTGATGTAATAAACTGCTTGATCAATTGGCAATTCAAATTCAAATTCAGATTCAAATCATTTATTCATCGAAATAAGAAATATACATTTCATTTATCGATAGTCATTTTTTAAATCTACCGCCGTTTCGTAATGAGGTTCCTTTAACGGAGAAGAAACAGGCGAAAGAAACTCCGTAGGTATCCTCTTTTTTCTCATTTTTTTTTACTCAACAAATACATAGTTATACAGTGTATATTTTTTTTTTTAGAAACAGCTTAGGAGCGATCATCTCATTCCCAGGGGTTATTATCGTTAATGTATTCATTTATATTATAATAACCCTTTTTAAAAAGTTTTTCTTTAATAAATTTTTTAAACCTGTTAATAGATAGGCTTTGCACATTAACTGGGATTTTGTTGTACAAGCGTATACACCGTCCCATTTTCCCCGTCCCACAACGAGTTACTGACTCTATGGAGTCTAGTAACTGGCGTTACAAGCTTGTGTTTGTTCCTAGTGTTTACATTATGTACATCAGTATTCTTATTAAAATTATTAATGTTTCTATGTACATACATTACATTTTCATAAATATATTGAGAGGCCAAGGTTAAAATATTTATCTCTTTAAATTTCTCTCTCAGAGATGCATTCAAATTAAGATTGTAAATTGCTCTTATGGCCCTTTTTTGCAAAATAAATATTGTTTCAACATCGGCTGCATGCCCCCATAGCAAAATACTGTATGACATTATGCTATGGAAATAACTACAATAAACAAAAAAAAAAAACAAAAAATCCTATTGAAACAACAGAAATATAATGTTATCAATTAAACGTAAGAAACCCGAAATACAAAAAAAAGCGTTAATACAACCTGGATATGAGCGCGTGTCCTCAGCACGTAATTCTGATGTCTTGGCCGTAACGCCATTAATGGTTTTATTAATAATTGTCCTTCAAAAACTTTTTTAAGTCTGACTTTTCCTCTTCATGATAATATATTACTTTTATGTGATTTTTTTGTTAATTATTATATGTTTTCTGAAACGTAGTTTTGTCTTTCCTCCTTATCGAAGAATTTCGACGAATTTATTTAATGTGATCAGGTAACATGATATTAACGTTCTTTTTGTTTATAAATGTTTCATTTTATTTAGGCATTTCACGGGCATAATGTATACAAATTAGAGTTACTAGTTAATGAAAACAAGGCCAGGGTAGCCGAAAATTGTTTGAACGTTACTATTTTTTTAATCAAAAAAAGGTATAGTTAACTGGTCGGTTGTGAATTTCGTATGCCGAAACGAACAACACTTCAGGTTAAATTAATATCGCATATTATGTATATTTTGAAGCACATGAATATAATAAAAATTATAGGTTTGTATATTTGAACGTGGTAATTTTGCCAATCATAGGCCAGAAAGTTTGTGGATTACCGTAAGGTTTTATTAATTAGATATAAAGAGTTGAGCAGTAGCTGTTAACGACAGCCAATTGTAAACATGTGAAGAGAGAAAAACTATGGGATCTTTTTTATGATTTTATGCAGGCAAAATCGTGGGGCACGGCCAGCTAATTAAAACCAGTGTTACCTTTGGCTACTCGTAGGTAAGAACCGATCTGATGAGTCAACAGGCGTTTGAACGTTCCCGCACGTACTTTCACAAATGAAACGCTTAGCTAAATCATTATTTATTATCAGAAAGTATGATTCACAACATATAATATCCAACTATAAAGAAAGAGTAATATTTATAAGTGAAGGTTTTTTAACATGACCCATTCATTAATTACAATGATTTTAGATATTTTTTGATGCGAGATTTTGTGAGATTTTTATCTACATCTTTTATCTCTCCCCCATCCTCCAATCTCGGATTAATTCTAAAAAGAAAAAATAATAATTTCCGCCAGTAATCTTTTAGTATTTCTAACTCACCAGTGGATGGAGGTATTTGAGATCAAGGGGTGATTAAGTCGTCTGTCACGAAAACCGTGTATCGGCTAAGCACGATTGACTTCTTTGATTGCTTTGGGGGAAATTATGAAATCTGGCCACCAACTTTGCTGTCACTTGAAAGGTAAGGCCAAGTTGTCTTATAAAAAGTTCAGTGTGCCCATTTGAGCATGGCAGTATTTTTTTGCCGACACAACGGACAAATAAACAAAGCGACGCACATGGTTGTTGTAATGTCCTCATTTCTGGGCTAAGGGCCACTAGTACTGGTTTAAGTGCGGCGAACGGAGATCGCGTCTAATAAATTTTCAAGCGTTTCGATTCATTAGTCTTGCGAAGAGACGCGAATCGTTTGAATTTTGGTGAAATTATTCATTACCTGGCCTCCGGCTGTGCAAACTAAGGTTAGACACTTAACAGACCCAGAGTAATTAATAGTAATTAGAAACGCAGACGAAGCTCAGACGATCAGTAAGCTGAAGTGGCTTCAGATCGCGGCGATGTAGATCTGATAACCGTTAGGGAATAAAGATTATCGAATTTCATCCTCGTACTGTCCATCGGAATGTACTACTATTACTACTACTATACTACTACTACTTCCTGGAAGGTCTGTGCAAGTACGCGGAAAATAGATGGATGTAGGTGGCTCAGGATTGTGCTTTGTGGTAGTCTGTATGGTAGGCCCATGTTTAGCAGTGGACTTCAACAAACTTAAATCATGATGACGAATTAAGAAACACGTCGACCAATTAAGTGAAACTAAGTAACAAAAGATTCACTAATAGCCCACCTCTCCGCGACAATAATTTACGACGAATAAGATTTTTTCTGTGCTTAAGCCGAGTGATTCGTATCCGAGTGTGAAATTGCGTCAGACACGACGCTGATTAACCGAGCAATTGGTAATGACTTCTTCAATTAATTTCTAATTGAACCGAATACTTTAAAACTTTTGATAGATACTACACACCTAAGGATTCAAAGTTATTACAATAAATAATACATCTTATTACTTAATAATTTTTAAAGCTAACGATGAAACAAAACAATTTTCAAAGGAACAATACTCTGTAATTGTCATGTCATTTAAATTACTAAATTACATACGGGAGGACAAAACTAGCCCCGAAAAATACCTAATTTGACAATGTTAACATGAAATCCTTGCAGAGCTTTTTTATTAAGTTGTTCTAATATTTAAATACGGTTTGAGAGATAGTTTCAGTGAATGGGATTGTTGCTAATTAAGGAAATGATTCCTTAGAGACGCCAGAAAGTACCAATATTCCAAAGGCGGGTGTACTTAACATAAGGTTAAAGACTCGAATGATTCCTTATGACTCTTTACAATGTCGTGAAGTAACTTTTTGATCTCAAGGAATTGAACAATTCTCTCGATTAAATCCTAAGGAATCTTATGAAGGACCGACGTTTCTAATAAAAATTGCAGTAATATTAATAAAAGTTTCTTACAAAGATCGGACCATACACATAATAAATAAACTATTGATGTTTACCAACAGTTAAATTTTTTTTATTTGTACATTTAAACAAGCAACGTACTCGCAAACACCAGAAGACTTCTTATTATATATTAGCAAATCATTTTTTAACTTGGATAATTTATTAATTGTGCCATAAATAAAACTAAGAAATTAAGATTGTCTGTGTCTTTATTATCGTTAACATCTGAAATTATACATTTCATTCGCAATTTTACTTCGTTTTGTATAACGCGCGGAAATCTATCAGCTTGGAGACTGCCTTCAGTAGTAACTCGCAGCATCCGACGTCTAGCATTTACAACCTTCTTATCAATTGATAAGATGGGCCTAAAGTTAACCCACCCACCGCACAAAGCTCAAAATTGTGTGTTACGCCGCACTCCTACCAAACCATTGTTTCAATCGGAAGAGTGTACAAATCCACTCGGCACACGGGCAATTGTCGACATTGATCGTTTGGAAACGGTAAAGTCTAGTTCTCGAAGCGGCGTGAAGTTTTTCTTTGTGGAAAACCGGCGGCGCTGCCGAAGTGGGGGCGGCCGCATCCACGACTGTCAGTGTCAGCGCCACATATCCGTGGTGTGCGACGGTGTGTGTGCACGTGTGTGTGTGCGTGCGTGGTACGGCCTGCGCGAGCGTCGCCACTCACCTCGTCCAGTCATCGGCCGGCTGAGGTGGCGCCGGGCTGAATCCGCGTTCCGTTCCTCTTTATCCCTCGCGGCCGCTGTGACGTGATACCGTATGTATTTGACGTTTATGCTTTTTTTTTAATTTCGCGCTTTTTCTCACGTGACAGATGCTTTTTTTCACTTCGCTCAGACGACTGTCTCATTTCTGCCATCCGCGGCTGTCCGTAAGATCGTGTTGCGTTTCGTCCCGCCGCTAAGTTTGTCGCACCCATTGAGTAACGATGGCGGGATTCGCATTGAACTTTCTTCGCTAGTACAATACCGCGGGTTCGCTTTCATTGTCCGCTGCGCTCATTGTGTTTTTTGAGAATCAAACTAAGTGGTTTGAGAGTAAGTTAAACGTTAATGAGAATGGCGGATTCATTTTGCAAACAGATATTCTACACGACTGTGAAATGCGAACGCTTTTGATTATTTATTGGTAATTTATCTGCGAATGTATTTAAGGACTTTCTTCAGCCCATCTTTAACTTAACTAATCTAGTAAAAGATGTAATATAACTTTGTGTTAATTGATTTGATACTAAATTATATTTGTTACCCTTATTATCTAACATCTAACATCATTAAAATCGATTCCACTTCCATCTTTAATAGCGTCTTAACTATTGTGTACCGTTTGGCTCCTTAACATAACTTACAACTATTGTTAACTATTATCTGTAATTATTCGATAAGCGTGTTGACGTTAGTTTTTTTAATCATCTAATTGACAAGCGTTGAAACGTTAATTACGCTGTTTAAAGAAGTAATACGAATGAGATTGTTGAATTTACGAATTTATTTTTAAGGAATGTGCTTATGAAAATTTAAAGGGTTTACTTATTCGTTTTTACTACAGACAATTAACATTTGTTTCTTGAAACAATATATTCTTTTATAATGCAAATGAAATAGGTTTATTATTTTTATGATAATATTTTTGTTTCATTCACTGTTTTACCTTTTACTTGCGCCAATTAAAACAAAAAAAAATATTAATATACATTAGCTTAGCTTTTCCCAGTTAATAAAATTTAATCTTTTTATAAACAAAATAAAACTGACTTAAGGCGTAAACGAGTCCTCTTTGAATCAATTGATAACAGACCTTTATAAAACATGTCAAATGCACATGTTTATAGATAAACTAGCTGTCCCGGCGAACGTTGTTTTGCCATATAATTTATTTGTAGGGTAGAAAAAAATGTTTGGGGTGGACCACTCTTAACATTTAGGGGGATGAAAAATAGATGTTGGCCGATTCTCCACTCTGGCCGATATGCACACAAAATTTCACGAAAATCGGTCGAGCCGTTTCCGAGGAGTTCAAGTACAAACACCTAACACGAGAATTTTATATATTAGAAGATTCACAAGTTCGTGATAACTAACAAACATAGTTTTCACAGTTTGACAGACATGACAGGTTGTTTATATAAACATACGGTTAAATAGTCGGGGAATTTTCTATTCAGATCTACGCGTTGAGTGTTTAATATTATTGTTTTGAATGTCGCGACTGAGAATGACATGGTCGCGTATCGGTTTTAATTGCTATTATAACGATTAATTCGTATGAATAACGCCATTCATAAAACGTATAATTATGTCAGTCGTGTGTTAGTTGTCAAACTGGGAGTTGGGACAGATCTAATATTGTGGGAGGAAGTGAGTGATATTTCGAATATTTTCGTTCTAAATTTGATTTTTATTACATATTTACTTCTAGGATAATGCCTAGCGAATAGACTTCAGTAACTTGGAGAGAATGAACTATCCATTTTAAGTTCACGAAAATGTTTCCAATAACTTATGGCATTTACAGTACATGGATAGCAATGATTTTCTTACCTTTGGATCAAGGCACGGAGACAGGGTTGCTATCTGTCTTGTTTTGAAACTAATTCTTAGCCATACGAAATGTTAGAATTACGTATTTTTTGTGGTGGAAATATGCACTCGTAGAAGCTCTTGCCATATCGAACGGGAACGCTGTAGAAGGCTGGCCTGAAGTAAAAGTAGTTATAGTTTAGCTTTTCGTTGGACGAAAATAAGTAATAGACAGCATTTTAAACACCAGTACAGAAACTGTTGCAGCCAGTGTGATTTCAAGAGCCAGCTAAGATCATGGTTCCAAATTTTTCGATGCCTTTAGAATTATAAACTCTCTGTAGTTAGTTTCCAAGTATTGACCGTAACTTTAAGTTACAGACCATTTCATGACAAATTCGGAACACTGAGTTCAAATTTCATCATTTGGGCCGCTAAATAGATGGGGTCGGAGATCGCTCTTATGCGAATGGCTTGCTAGGTGGTTCATACTTTGTCCAAGTAGTGCATAAAGGATAAATAAATAATGCATCTTTTGAAAGAGAATTCTGTACATATTTACGTTAACTACATGTAATAGCAGTAATAAAGTAATTAGTTACAGCTTTAACTATAAATCAAGTCCACCCCACTCGTAATTATGCCAAGGTTTGGCGGTCGCGACGCTTTTTGCGTAATTTGTCGTTGCGTCATCGTGAAGCGAATTTCGTGTACGTATCCTACGTTTTTCGAATTCATTGATTTCGTGTAAACTTATTCTGCGAGTGGTTTTTGTTTAATAGTGTTTGTGTTGTTAAGTTTAATGGATTCAATTGAAGGTTGAACAGGATTCACACATTTCATTTTTACATATTTTATGTATACCTTTTTGAGATCTCTTGCAATGTTTGATTGTTTTGTTGTTTATATTCAGGATTTCATAAAACCATATTTTAGGAAGATTTGAGAGATCCATTTCGATTAGGTATCGATATAGCTAATTCATGAAATAGAAATCGCTTGGATTTTGCTAGCTAGAGAGGCTTTTATTTTGAACGTCTTTTTTTTAAATTGTAATTTTGGATTTAGTATCGTACATGTTTAACTGTATTCATGTTAATTGTATTTTTTTACTAGCCAGAGGACCTTTGCTCGGAACATCTCTTTTTAATTTGTAATTTGATAATATCAGAACAGATACATAAACAAGCTCCTTTGTTAATCATAAAAATATCAAGCTTTAGAAAGCTGAGTACAAAAAACATGTAGTTGTTTATATATTGAGCTACTGAGTTTATCACCGTATACAAAGAATGTCATAAATAATTGAAACATGAAATGTGTATCTAATTGAACAAATAAATACTATATTAAATTCCTTCTTACTGATATACTAAACGTGTATTAGTCACAGTTGTAATTATTCAAATTACGTTGTCAAGCGTTTGACAACAACTGCATTTCGCGTGGTCTATTATCCGTGGTAAATTATTTCGCTTATCAGGTTTGAACTGCGCGGTAAGCGTCGCCTTCTTTCTTGCGATAAACAGTGTCTCAAAGTTTTGAATACATTCCAAGTCATTTCATCAGCCGATTTTCGAAGTTTTTTGTGTTCAACTATTCCAGCATGTTGTTGAACGACATTCTCCCTTATTGGAATTTTAAAAGCAAATGTCAAAATTCCTATAGTTTTATTGCCATGTATTGTATATTTAACAACTATCTGTTAACTGTGTTATGAATCACTTGTTCTTCAACGATCTTTATTTAATAAACATATTATACACATTTTGTCCCCTTCGTATTTTTTCTCTTCTAGTAGTTCAGCTATTGGTGCTAAATGTTTAATTTGGCATAAAATAACTTCTTAACAAATAGTTTTAGACACAGACATAGACATAGGCATAGACTTTATTTCGACAAGCAACACACAGCAAGAACATTCAAAATAAATGACATGAAAATAACTTAATTAAAAATAAAAATAAAAGATCGTTTCAAAAAATACAAATTAAAAAGAAAAAATAAGTGTAAGTACACAAAGTTACAAAAATAAAGAAACAAAAACCTTTGAGGGAAAAAAATGTAAAGTGTATAATATGTAATAATTAATGTACTGTGTTTATGTCAAAAATGCTCACCACTCAGCAAAAAAAAATGCGGATAGTACCGCAATGCTGGTTTTCTGTTTTATTTCATTTGCATTTCGGTTTTATTTAGGTAATATTCGATCTTTTCGTTTTCATCTTTATTTTAAATTTTCGTATGTTTATCGTATCAATAAACGTAATTTAGTTTTTATTTGTCTGATAGACAGATCGTAAGTTAGTCATTTGTCTATTTTGTTACAGTCTGTGCACAAAAAATTCGCTGTACAAAGGCGGACTTGATGCCAAAGGCATTTTCTGCCAGCCCACCTTACAATGTGGGTTCTGTTCCTTGAGTATCGAGATTTTCAACGAAAAGTATTGAGATTTTATCAGACATGTCATCTACATAAGTACCGTAAAATGACCTAACTTACGACTTAGATGCAATAAATCGTAATACGAACTCGTGAAATCTTCTTTTATAGACACATCAACAATATTATTCCTAAGCTATGTAGAAAATCAGTTATATCATCTGAAGATGAATGTGTGTTTTCTAATCTTGTTAATAAAAATATTAGAGATAACATCGTACGTACATACAAAATATATACTTACTCCAACTTCTTATCTCTGTTATAGAGTTATATCGACTGTAACATTGTTGAATGTATAATACTGCGAATTTATCGGCCTCAATCTTATAACTATCTTTTTGCTAATTGGTTAACATATTTTTAAATATCTTTAGTATAATTTTTTTATGTTATGGACATGTAAATCGAGCTGTTAAGTTCCTAAAAACTACTCTATTCGTTAACAAGTTGATATACACATCACTGAAAACGAAGTGCTCACAAAAATCGTTATAACTTAATATTTTTATATTAATAACCTTTATATTGAATTAAGATATCACAATAACTTTTTTTGGATAAGGGGTCGTGTTTTTTTTATGCAAAAAGATAGCAAGCGAGCAGGCGGTTCACCCGATGTTAAGTGACTACCGTCGCCATTTGCAACACCCGTAGGGATTGCCTTTTAACAAATTGGTCCCCGGCTACCTCACTCACCAGACGAAGCAGAAGTATACCTACAACAGTTAAAAGTGTCTAACAAATTTATTATATAAAACTAAGACGAATTAATTGAAATTAATCATTATTTTTTCCATGTTGCGCGTGCAATTGCAGACCTCTGTCATTTTATTTATATTGATTGGCATATTCTAGTAATATAACACTTCACTACTGATGAGTTATTGTTCTTTTAGTCTTATTGTAATTTTTGCATGATGAAAAAGAAAGCTTTATCGGACGCAGAGTGCAGTAACAATACAGTTTTCTACGGATTTAGAAAACCCGACTGATAATAATGAATATTGATGAGGCAACTGCGGAATTCATATTTTTTGTAACCTGTTATCAAAATACTTGCAATATCATATAAATATTTATAGGTATAACAATTTACATGTGATTATTTTAAACACGTGTATGAATGTATAACAAAGTAATAGTAATTGCTTTAAACAGGAGACGTTTTGTCCAATTCAAAGTCTCCGAGTTTCTTTAATTTTTTAACATTTAACTTTTTATATACATTTCGTTAACTTGAAAAAATACCTTTATTATTCAACATATCATAAAAAATATGTTTATCTTCTTAGGCTGTTTTCACGATAAAGCGACGTTCCATTTACGAAGCTGTGCCATTGAACGGCGATGCATAAAACGTGTAACGCGATGCCATCGCCATTTCGCGGATGATCTTTTACCGCGACCGTATACGATTAAGACCGGACTAAGCGCAGGCAGGACAACGACTTCTCGGATAATACAAATTCCGAGCCGTCTGACATCGACCATACTAGTTCTGGTCCTGTTATCTATATCTAGCTCACGATGTATGAAACACGGGCGTCTGATATCTATCCCCCGGCTCGTTTGAAAAACCATTTCACCGCGCAACACGCTCGGGTTCTCTTTTTAAATTGACTCCGAATGCGATTCTTATTGGACGACATTAAACATCTTCTTAACGGCCATCGTCCTTTATGCGGCCAGCGTTAAACTGGTACGTGCTTGTTGTTTTTTTTTTTCGAATCACCATCTCGCCTATTTAATGGCCGTTCGTTTTCAATTTTCGAATCGATGTCTGCTCGAGATGGAGTTGTTTTTTTTTAAATAGGAGCGCCCTTTTCCATTAATATTATTTGAATTGAACTTTGTTGCGTGCGTACTTATGGTCGAACGAAAAAGTTGGGCTATAAAATAAGCATATTATTAAAATTATAAGTTTTATAGGATTTTTTTTTAAATTATGAATGCTTTATGCGTCATCCATTCTCTAGTGATGGACTGGTTTAAGTTGAATGTGTTAATGGTGGGAAAGGAAACTAATCGATGTAAATAAATAAATAAATGCAAATTAAATATTTTTATTCTCTCGGAACTTTGTGATAAATAATTACATGCAGAAAATTTACCAGAAATTTTATTAAGCTGTATTTCAATAGCCGATTATGAAACACACGGAACGATTTCAGTAAAGCAGTTTCTTTGAATTCGGTTTGTTGTGTCAAATATTATTTAAATTTAATCGTGGCACAACTTTTTTGTTACGATGTATAGAGCTAGTATAGAATATTATGTAAAAAGCAAATTTATGTGCATAGTTTAAGGTATGTAATACCAGTAATATTTTTCGCTTTTTTTTTTTTTTTTTTTATGCGAAAAGTTGTCAAACGAGCAGACGGTTCACCTGATGTTAAGTGAATACCGCCGCCCATGGACATCTGTTACACTCGAGGGTTACAGATGCGTTGACACCTTTTGAAAATTGGGCTCCGGCTACCTCACTCACCAGACGAAACGCGAAAGTATTTGTCATACTTCCACTTTACGCCGGTCTTCTGTGAGGTCGTGGTACTTACCCGGACGGGCCTGCCCATTCGTGCAACAGCCGAGGCTGCTGCGTGGCCCTACCACCGCTTCATCTAGGTTTTCAAAGTACAAGGATTGATTATGCTGACCTATGTGAATCGAATAAAATAAGACTGAACACATGACCGTTTTTACAAAGGAAACAAGGAAAATATTAAATCAGATTATATTTTTTTAAAGAATCAACAATGTTCGTGAAAAGAACTCTGTATCCTGTTTTCTTTTGTTACAATTATAATTAAACTAATATTACTTTAAAGTTATTACTGACAACTTTTTTAATTGTAATTATTTATAATTCTTTACGTCGATACCCACTTTAAGAGATTTTAAAATGGCAACTAAATATTCCTACCTATAATAGTATTTTCAAAACTTCAGAACGGCATCTAGAGATTTTATACTGACACGTATTGAAGTCCTTACAGTGTAATCCAAAGTCAAAGTTATGAATACAAGTCAAGTCTAGTTGAATGTGTCATGGAGAACTGGTCGACTATACACTTCTTTAGCGAAGCTTATGCGTATCTCCAACATCCAATTATAGTAGCAAGGTTTGCGAATCTGTGAAATGAAACATTAAAACGTAGGTATGTTTGAAGCACTTTACAAAATTGCAATTGACAAGGGGTCAAGTCAACATAAATCAATAAGACGTGCTATGATCCTTAGTTTCATTTTAAATGTCTCTAGTGTGTCCAAATTGAAACGGTGCGTAAACTCCTTATTAAAATTAAGAACAGAAGCTTGGAATAAATTACTTTAGATATAATTACATTCCAAGCATTGTACCGTTACGAATAAAGCTGTCGTTCAAAAACCAAGGTTAAGACAGCTTTACTATCTACCTGGCGCAATGATTGTTATGTTATATGTTATACTGTTATTTATATTTTGATGACTCCGTGGCGCAGTCGCCGAGGTAGCCGCTTCGGCATCGGTCGTGGGTTCGATTCCCACAGGGGACAACTATTTGTGTGACCCACCGATAGTTGTTCCGTTCTGGGTGTTTGTCCGAGTGAAATGTATGTTTGTGAAAACGTCCTTACAAAACAGGATAATGTTATCCCAAAGTAAGGCCAATGTTAAAAAAAAATAATGTAGCACATTACGCGATATTCATGTTTCAAAATAAAAGATTTCCTCACCCCGACTTCGTACGGTAAACAAATCGAATTAAAGTAAAATTTTCCGTTAAATTCACCTTATATAGGCATTGCGTGCTGAAATAAAGCGCATTCAGCAATTAAAATAGAGTGATAGCTAACAGTGCACTGACATTTTTATTAATCACTATGAAGCCAAAGTTCTCTTTATATTATCTGATTAATATACTCACTGTTGCGTCTCAATATATTTATTGTAATATTTTGTATGTTAAACATAATATTAATAATTATCTAAAGAATTGTGACAGACATAAACTAAATACTAGAAATAAGGACAAACAAACTAGGCCATTGTTTCGTCTACAAAAAGTAAACAGGTCGTTCATGGGGGAAAGTGTGCGCATGTATAATAAAATGCCACAGTTGATATGTCTAAGTCTGCCACTTAATGAATTTAAACGAAAAATTAAAAGTAAACTTATGGCTAAAGCCTATTATACTATTGCCGAATATCTTGACGACGCCAATGTGTGGGGTTAATACTGTTGATACTCACGTAGGCTAAAACAAGACTATTGTACCTGTACTATTTATTATATTGTAAACTATTTTTTTAAAAAGAGCAACTGTTGAGTTTTTTGCCGGTTTCTTCTCAAAAGAAACTGCTTTCCGAACCGGTGGTAACTTACGAACGTGTTAATTTTTTTGTAAAATTTTGACGTTTCATAACAACGCCAAACGTCTATGTGAATAAAGATATTTTATTATTATTACGTTTGATTGAACCTATTGCTTATGTCTACAAAATACATGTCACGTATTTTATTTCTTGCTTGCTGCGAGAGATAGGTGAGAGTATGACATGACTAGATATTGAACAATTTTTACTCGAATTAGTAAGTTTCGATTACCGGTTCTCAGGGCTCAGTATTAAGTATCGATTAAAAACAGGAAAAATATTCGGAATTTCAAATACTTATTATCATTTTAATAAATAGGGTAAAGGTTGGCTAAATGGTGATATATAGCAAAATTAAGCAAAATTATCACCATATGGTGATAATTTTGCTTTCAACGGTCTTTATAATGCCCAGCGCGAGTTTTGCGTTCATTCAATGAACTGAAGGCGAGTATGTTCATCTCTCTTTCATTTGGCCGCTGGTCGCTGTCCTCACCGGACGCGGTTTATTTGTTTCGCGCCAAAATATGCGAAAAAATGGAGGATAATCGGTACGTAAATATCACCAAATTACCAAAAACATTACATAGCTTATTTTTATTTTATTTCAAGCTTATGTTGAATGGAGTTTTCAGGGTAGATGAAGCTCGAAATGTTGTATCTCTCTGTTAAAAAAAATATCGGGTTGTGTTTCATTAGTCCGGGTTATAGTCTTACGTATTGGATGATTTTTCTTACAGGAACAAGTCCGGAAAGTCAAATAAAAGGAAAATGAAGGGCGAGAAACGCAGAAATTATGACTCTTCACGCTTCAAGGAGTCTTATATGAAAGTTATAAAGGATAATTGGTCAGTGTACAAGGCGTCGAAGGAATATGGCATACCGTGGTCTACTTTGAGAAGACACATAGCTACTCATGGAGGTGAAAGTTTCGACTTACCTAAACTTGGGAGACCATTCACATTAGACAGCGACCTTGAATGTAAGTTTGTTTCCTACATAATTAAAATGCAAGAACTAGGATTTGGTCTCAGCGTCACAGACATCAAAGCTAAATGTTACGCTTTAGCAGTCCAAGCAGGAAAAGATCACCAGTTTAACGATGCTAAACGTAAAGCTGGGCCTTATGATGGGTGGGTTAGGATGGTGGTCGTTTAAAGAACGGTACGGGCTTTCATTGCGCACGCCAGAAAAGCTTGCAGCATGCCGAGCTGTTACTGCTAACAGACAAAACATTGACGATTTTTATAAAAAGCTACTGGACGTCGTTATTGAGCTGGATATTCTGCAAAAGCCTGAAAGGATTAATAACTGCGACGAAACCAGGTGTAACGTTCGTCGTAAAACCGTCAAAAATTGTCACTCAAACTGGAAAGAAGGTAATTTACAGTAGAACTTTTGCAGAGAAAGGTGTCACACAAACGGTGCTTGGGTGCTGTAGTGCGAGCGGAGCGTCTGTACCCCCCTTGATAATTTTTAAAGGTGTCCGAATGGTCAATGATCTAGCGAATGGTGCTCTGGAAGGGTCTATCGTGAGATTATCCAAAAACGGATGGATTAACTCTGAACTATTTCTGGAGTGGATGCATCATTTTGAAGCTCATATTCCACCAGCTAGACCGGTACTTTTAATCATGGATTCTCACTCTACCCATGTCAGCCAAGATGTTATAGATTTCGCTACAAAAAATGGCATTCATCTATTCACTTTTCCAAGTCACACAAGCCATCTCCTGCAACCTCTGGACGTTTCTGTTTACAAGTCACTGAAAAATGCATGGGCTAAAGTGCTTAATGATTATAAGCTTCAACATCCAACGAGTGCTCCAACAAGGATTGACTTTTGTCGCCTATTAACACCAGCCTACAAGCATGCATTTCAGCCGTCAATAATTATGAACGGCTTTTGAAAAACTGGCATTGCGCTATTTGATCGAAATGCCATTTCTGATGAAAGTATTGCCTCATCATTGATGCAGCCAAGTGACCTACAGTCACAGAATATTGAATCTTCCACTGATAATGCCCAAGCTTCTGCTGTCAATCGTGAAACTGCGTCACCTTCAGTTTTCTCTTTACTTTCCGTTCCTGAGGTACCACAGTCTTCTTCTTCTAGTACCCGACGAGCTAAGCGGAATCCACAGGCCCGATATTTAACACCTCAAAGCACAAACAACATGGACAGTCCTGAAGAAAACATCGTCGCCATATCAAACGAAACCACAGTCGCCGTTACCAGTGAGGAGACCGTTACCTCGATTCGTGTCCCCTCTGCTTCTCCAACTCCTGGACCTTCAACTGAAAGCAACCTGAAGCGTAAACTATCAAGAGTCAAGGTAGAGAAAACACCAAAATCAAATAAAAGTACGATGTGTGACTATTGCGGTGTTCACTACTCCCAAGATGTGGCACTTAGGAACGGAGCTGTATGGGTAGAGTGCATGAGCTGCGGCAAATGGTACCACCAAGAATGTACTGGCACAGAGTCGCCACAGTTCCTGTGTGATAATTGTGATAAAGTAGACTTTTCAGGTACTGATGACAGAGATTGGGCACCTGAATAGACTTGTCACCATATTGCCACATATGGTATCACCAAATTGCCCCCGTATCTCCATATTGCCAACACCAAAAAGATTTATTTGATCTGATTTTCCTATTAATGTTTAAGAATTTAAGTTACTGTGATTAATAATTATTGAAAAGAAAAGTCTGATTATTGTAATAAGTAAAGAGGTTGTCTAATAAATGTTAATTTTGAAATAAAATTTTAAGTTTTTTTCTTATTATCACCATAAAGCCAACCTTTACCCTACTTTGAGAAATTCGAAAATCGTTGACAGTGTAACTGTTATGAAAAGGTTTGGAAATACTATTGATATCCATTTTTAATACAAATCCAGATTTTGAATTTATTTTATTTATCATCTGTGGTAAGACGCCCCAAAGAACGTCACTATATGTGCGCTACTAGCAATAAATTACAACATTATCTTGCGTTCGTTGTAGCGTTACGAATAACGGAATTTGATGAGCGTGGTTTGAATGACAGCCGTCATCCGCATCAATCTACCAAGCACGGGCTTTAATGAGATACAAATTAAAGTATTTACTTTTGCGTTTCATCTAGAGCTGAGGTAAATAAAATCGTTTGCCTTTGATTTAACTTACAAACATTTCGCTCTAATTGAACAACACCAGTTTGCATATCAACTACTACTCTACACGAATGTGCCAGCCCAACTGAAGTACACTCTCTGGCACACGACTCCGCTCTCTGTCAAACAGTCTGTCTTTCTGTCCGCTTGTCCGCCTTGTTGTCTGTCTGTCTGTCTGTAATCAGGCTGTATCTCATGAACGGTGACAGTAAGACAGATGACGTTTACACATATGGTGTATATCTGTTGCCGCTACAACAAATATTGAGAAGCAGTATGAAAAATATTTAAGTGGGGCTCCCATATAAATGACATGATTTTTTTTTTCGTTTTTATATATAATGGTACGGAACCCTTCGTGCGCGAGTCCGACTCGTACTTGGCCGTTTTTAATACATATTCATGCTAGTCTTTAATGTAATTTAATAATTTTTAGACGGCTGTACTCATTCAAATATTATCGACTTCTTTCCATAGTTCGTTCGTATTTCCGTAAACACGGAGAATTAATGCTGGGTTAAATTAATTATTATTTAACCTTAATGGTGGAGTATTTATCGACTGCCTAAACCTCCGCTCTAGGCATACAATAGAAGGAAGTCGCATCGATGTTATGTTCATAATGGTGGCCGCAGACAACAAGAGTTAACTGCCGTTTTGTTCACAAGCGGACAGATGAACATACCGCAGGACACTCAGAAGGCGAAACGGTGTACAGACTATTTGTTCCATTGTACTGAGATAATTGTTCAATCTTATTAGAACATTTTACAGATATCACCAAACGGTTGTTTAACAGAGCTGAATATCAGCAAACCCTCTGGTGGTAAGCGCAGCAAATTCCAGTCCATTAGTTCGTCCTCGCCTTCGAGCATGGCGAGACCAATACAACGCATACACTAGGTACACCCGCGTTCCAGGGCGGTTCCAACCGACCAACCAAGCACAGTCAACCGAACCTCGATGGCCCGTAGGCGATATGTCATAATTAACGCACGTATGAGTACATGCGCGGCTCTACCCACTGACGAGGGCCTAAACTCGTGGGTAGATCTAGGGCTAACCCACCGACAACTAAGAAGCGTAACATCAGTTATTAAAAAAAAAAAATATTATAACAAACTTCGATCGATGCGAGATGTAAAACGAATCGTCTAATTCGTTATGCCTTCAAGTCCTTATTCTAACTGGTAGGGCCATGCAACAGTCTTCGCTGTTGCACGTATGGGCAGGTCCGACCGGACAAGTACCACGATACCACAGAAGACCGATTGCTACAATTCCACTTCACACCGGCCTTCTGTGAGGTTCTAGATATGAAATAGGTCGTGGTTACTCATTAAACAATTGAAATGTAAAACACTTTACGACTGCGGCGTTGTGGATGCGGTAATTCCCCGGAACATTTTTGCAATAGCTAAAACAGCCTACGAATCTAGAAGGAGAATACATAATGTACTGCACACGAATCAATTAAAATATGTTTTCACCTTATAATATTAATGTGTGTAATGTTTTTTTTTTTTAATTTATTATTCATAATATAGCTGATTGAATCCGCTCTATTTGAATATATAGAAATAAACCAAAAATTTACTTAAATATACTTTTATATTCATTATTTACTCCATATAATACCTATGTAATATATGTTTATACAGACGACAAACATACGTTCATGTGGTTACATACAGGTGAATTATATAAAAGTTTGCCTAAAAATGATGAAGTTATCTATTTTTCATTTGCGTAGGCTATTTGTAAATTATTCGACATAATACAAGAAATTTTTAAAACAAAACAGGGCAACAATAAAAAATGAATATATCGAAATCATTTGTAAAATACAACATAAATTGTGAAATGTAGTAAATTTATATTCAACCTTTTCCGTTTGACAAAGATTTATATCACCTTAAATTGACAGATTATTTTAAGATTTATTTACAGGATTTGTATCGCTGCGAAGGAGAAAGTTTGGTTATATGTTATTTAAAATATTCGAGACATTTGTTTCGGGTTTATAAAAAAGTTGTAAGTTTTTTGTCCCTAGTTTTACCATACTTCACGTTAATAGTGTACATATTTATATGTTCACTGTAGACTAATATAGGATATATCATGTGCACGAGCACTCAGATTATGTATGTGAATGAAGTCGACATGGTTATTAGGAGGCGTTTGAATCCCGGGTCAAATGTCAGTCTGGTGGGCAAAATTCCGCTTTATTCGGACATACGGAAATGAACGAAAGTTGAATTAATGCCAAGTGATCACGTAGATCGATCGATGTCTTATAAAAGCGGGGATATTATAAATAACTTAAATAAAGAACAGTACTTTTACCACTTTAAAACGTTCTAAAATCAATGTTTTTATGGCTCATCAGCTCTGTATGATTGTTAATACTTTGTAGTAGTTGTACATAAGTGTTACTCTGAGGGTGATGGAAGAGAGAAGTTTGGTCACGGTTGATTTAGATTATTAGCCATTCCAAATGCAAAAATGGCTCGGGTGATTAGTGTACCGTAAAATCCGCATCTCACAGACGTTGGCGTGTGGTATACTGTCATCATCCTGTGTTTATCATTCATGCCATATCATTATATTAATGTACACCTCTCTCTGATGTCTTCTTTGTCTTTTTAGAAAAGATTCTTGCCGCAAAGGTTGTCTGGAAGAAATCGCTTTTCAGGGCGATATGACCGCCTATTATACTTCCTTTTACATTAATTTGTGATTTATACTTGTTATGTTTTTGGTGTACAATAAAGTATAAATATTTAAATAATTGTAAAAGCCGCATCCCATAGACAGTAGCGATTGTTATACCGTAAAATCCGCATCTCACAGACGATGTCGATTAATAAACGTAACGTAAAATCCGCATCCCACAGACGATGTTGAAGATCGGCGGCGGCGCCGTGCTGGTGGCGGCCATAGTGGCGGTGTTCGTGGTGGCCACCCAGGGGCGGGACCCGGACTTGGAGGCGCTGGAGCACGAGGGCCACGAGTACATCATGCAGCTGGACCGGAACGCCGGCCTGAGGAAGAACAGGGCCAGCGTCGCCGAGTGGGCTTACACCTCCAACATCACCAAGGCGAACGAGGAAGCCAGGGTTAGTTCGTATCGCGGTTTGTCTGCACCTTTGATTGTGCATCAGTAAATCCAATGCTTTGTTGAACTTTTTTTTTGGTGGCAAATGAGATTGGTGATCTGATGTTAAGTGATAACCACCGCCCATTGACAATAGCAACACCCGTAAGGTTGTAGTTGCCACCTTTTAATGAAATGGGCACCGGCTACCTCACTTATCAGACGAAACACTTGTAACTCACGCGGACAGACCTGCCCATTCGTGCAACAGAGATGAGTAATGCGCGACCCTACCACGGTTGAAAATAGGGTTCTTTACATTTATGAAGGTAAATACGAAGATTTGTGAAGTCTACTAATTCGTGTTGGGTTAACGTGTTAGACTCCTAGATCTCTAATGCATTCTGTACACATATACTTAAGCTATTACTAGTTCGGTTTTTATTTTAGTTTTACACAGTCTATTTCCATTTTTATTTTGCATTATTTGGATATACTTCTTAATATATTGCAACGTCACCAATAATTGTGAACATAATTAATATCGTTATTCATTTATAACATTTCGCTTGAGAAAATTAGTTATGGTAAGGAGAAATATGCAGAATTAATATTATGCGTAACGATCATTAGGAAAAGTTATAGCTATTAAATTTATTATGTTGAATTTTATGTGAATTGCTATTGTAACAAGTAACATATTTTGAAATACAGAATATGTGTAGTTGAGATTGAGTTCAGATCCCTTGATTTGTAAACAGAACTAAAAGTAGATATATAAAACAAGATTCTGAAAAATATTTTTAAAGATGCTTAGATTATGTATCACACGGTTGTTAAGACATCGTTTTTAAAATAGAATTTTGCCCATTTCTAGATCCAAGTGCAGTTGGAGCTTTCGAAGCTGGAGAAACAGGCGTGGGAGGAGACTAGGATGTACAAGTGGCAGGACTTCCAAGATTTCACGTTACGAAGGATGTTCAAGAAATACAGTCAGCTGGGCGTTTCAGCGTTACCCGACGACAAGTACAAGCTGCTAATGCAGTCTGTCTCCGGAATGGAGTCTAATTATGCTACTTCGAAGATTTGCTCCTATAAGGACTCGAGTAAATGCGATTTGGCTCTGGAACCAGGTGAGGCATCTTATAATTAAACTCTCGATTTGATAGAAGTAGTCCGAATCGACTTCATAGAGCTTTTGAAGTTGTACAAGAGTACAGCTATGAATTTTAAATAGCAATTTTATGCATATACGAATAAAAATAAGGAGTCTTTACAAAAATGAATGTGTAGATGTAATTAAAGTCTGAATGATTAAATAAAGAGATCATAGTTAAACTAAATTAGCGAACATCGTGGACGGTCACGTAACCGGTCTAAGACTTCTAATATGTTTGTTTTATTTACGCTTATAAATCATTATAGGTCATTGAACTGTGTATTATATTGTTTTTATGATGAGTTGCACACAAGTTATGCGGGTTGGTCGAGTCTTCAATGCTAAGAATAAATTTACATTACTCATTGTAAACGAGCGGATGTCCTACTCATTATTGTTTACTTGAGTTTTTCCCATTTTTTTACCAGCAGTTAAACAATGAATCTGCATATATCTAGCTGTTTATATAGGACCTTCTTAATTGAAGCTAGTGTTCAGCGTTCTATTCATCTACTGGCTACTTATGTTCCCTACATATCCTATCAAAGGTACCGCTTGCCTTTAAAAATTTAAAGAGTTTCAATCACAAACGAAAAAGGTATCTCTGATCTGAAAGTAGAAAAAAAACTTCGTTGTGAGATCTTCAACTTTATTTACTAAATATAAATAATGTGGAATATAAACATAATATAGAAAAGCAGAATGGTAGAGTGGCCTCGAATTCGCAAAATAATCTTAGCGTCATAATTTCAGACATCACGGAGATATTCGCGAAGAGTCAAGATCCCGAGGAGTTGAAACATTTGTGGGTGGAATGGCACAAGGCGGCTGGTGCAAAGGCGCGCGCCAACTTTACGCAATACGTCCAGCTTGACAACGAAGCTGCTAAGTTGAACGGTGAGGTTTATTTTTACATTTACAAAAACTATTGCTGTAAGACGAGTTTGGGCTGCTAATCCACAATGTATTTATGTATAATGTTGTTAGCCACAATGTAATATAGATAGCAAATCTCTATATATAAAAATGAATCGCTGAATGTGTTGCTAACCGCAAATCTCGAGAACAACTGAACCGATTTCGCTAATTCTTTTTTTATAATATTCCTTGAAGTACGAGGATGGTTCTTACGGAGAGAAAAATTTAAAAAATTGCCTGAAAACGTCTAAAAACAAAACTTTTTCTATATTCCCATACAAAAGATTCGTAATAATACTTTAGTGACGATAGTATCGTATAAATATTAATGTCAATATTTGTCATTTTGTAATAATTTTTTACTAGATCGAGTGTTAAATTGCACCCGTTTGAAGCCGGGGCGGGTCGCTAGTATTTTAATAAATCTCTAAAGAGATTATTTGATTCCACTTATGGATGTAGTTTTCATTGACAAAATTTTATCTAAGTAGATAATATTAAATATTTTTACTTAACACTTAACTTTATTTAACTTCAACATATAACTTTTATTTTGCAGACTTTAAAGACGTAGCGGAGTGGTGGCAGTCGGAATACGAGGTTCCAGACTTTGAGGAGCAGCTTGCGAAGCTCTGGGAGGATGTAAAGCCTCTGTACCAACAGCTGCACGCTTACGTAAGAAAGCGCTTGCGTGACAAGTATGGAGACCAGGTCGTCTCAGCAAAGGGTCCTATTCCTGCTCATCTTTTAGGTAGGATCTGATACTGAAGTAAAAGACGGATTCTAATTACCGCGTGGCGGTGATCAGAATTTGATTGCTGATTGGTAAAGCCCGAGCTTAGTTACGATTAATATTAAATTCTGACTTTCGGCTTTCGCAATTCCCCTGTGTAGCTGACACTAATTTTCTCCTAGATTTTTGAATATTTAGTTATGAATAAAAAAGAAAGGTTGAGATAATCATCTCAAATACAGTCTAAGTTAAATAATTAAACATTATTTTTGGAATTTAGGTTTATTGTGACAGTTATAATACTAATTTACGTTTTCAGGTAATATGTGGGCCCAAACGTGGAACAATATAGAATCCTTCACTCGTCCCTACCCAGACAAGAAGGAGGTGGATATTACCCAGGCGATGCAAGAACAGAACTACACAGCTTTAAAGATGTTCCAAATGTCAGATGAGTTCTTCCGATCACTGAACCTGACTGCGATGCCGGAGAAATTCTGGAAGAACTCTATTATCGAGAAACCCACGGACAGGGAAATTGTGTGCCATGCATCAGCTTGGGACTTTTATGATGGGGAAGACTTCAGGTAAGGAAGGAGAGTTTTTGGTTTTTTATGGCTGTAATTCAAAGCCCGGCTATCAAATCACAATACAAGTAATGTGTTACTATGAAATTTTTTAAACGTTTACAAGTGATTCAAGACTTAAGAAATCATTAAAATATTTGAATTTAAACGATACATTTTATAACCTATTTATAAGGTGTCAATTAACATTCCAATATGGATCAGAAAATATTTTAAGTGGATTCTTCTAGCTATCAGCGTCCATCAGGTTTGTATGAGGCTGAATGACCTATTATTCCTTTTTTATCGCTGTTATACTGTGTTTAGATAAGCGGTGGTGGGTAATATTTACAATATTGACTTTGGCACTATACCAAAATGTTTTCCTTACATGTCTGGCTAAATTTGAAGGATCAAACAGTGCACGACAGTAGATTACGAGTATTTCCAAACAACACACCACGAAATGGGCCACATACAATACTTCCTACAGTACAGGCACCAGCCCGTTATATTCCGAGATGGAGCGAACCCAGGTAATTAACGACGCTCTTCTCTGTAATGCAGGATCAAAATGTGCACGGTGGTGAATAAAGAGCATTTGAGGGTGGTACACCACGAGATGGGCCACGTTCAGTATTATTTGCAGTATAGACATCAACCGCAAATATTCCGTGCTGGAGCGAATCCAGGTGACTTGTGAAAACAATTGTAAAATTTGTGGAGTTAACGTAACCACCAAATTTGCATGGGAGTCATCAGCCGTCACTTTTATTATTATAAGCTCTGTTAGTTTAGATAAACTTTTTGATGAATAATTTTGATAGTTATAAGAGACCTAAAATATACCCTAAAATGTATCAATATCCCTCAAACTAAGTGCTAACAACCTTTTTCCTTCGCCTTAACAAACGTATAATAAGACTAGTTTTGTCATAGATAATCGACAGATGCTTTAAGAAATTTACCGAGTTTAAAGATTCAATATTTTATAGTAATTTTTTGGTTACTTTAAGTTTTTGGTTCGATTGTTTTTTATATTGTTTTGTTGTGTATTTGTATTCTAACATTCAATGCATGACTTTTTGAAACATAACTTTGTAATAGGTTGTGTTGATCTTATTATTATATCTTATGCCATGTCGATGATATTGGAAAAGAATCGTATTGGATGACGGGATGGATCTTTAGTCGAATTTTTTGTATTAACCGAGAAAGAACTAACACTTCCCTAGTTGTCATGCCTGGTTCAGGAAAGATTTCAACTCACAAATAAATCTCATCCATTTAAGTAAATATTGAAATCTTTGTTTTTGTTCATATGCGTTTTACTAATATATCTAAAAATATTTCCCCCAATATTCATGTCTTGGATATTTAATTTGTATTTTCAGGTTTTCACGAGGCCGTGGGTGACACAATAGCACTTTCAGTTTCATCACCGAAGCACTTACGCCGAGTCGGTCTTGTTAGCGGTGATGCCGAAGATGAGCAAACTGAAATCAATCAACTTTATAAAATGGTAATTGTTGTGGAGTTTAACTGTTCACTGATTGATTTTCGTTATTAAATCAAACAAGTTGTCGTGCATGTCACTTCGTCGATGGGTCCATGAATTAATATATACCAAAGACTATTTATTGTTTATAAAATAGTATAGTGTCTCTTACTTACGCGAATATAACATATTTAAATTAAAACTTAGATGAAAAGCAATCGCGATTAAATTCGTTAAATGTGTACTTTACGTAATCGTAGAACCATAGCTGATTTGTCTTTTCTGCATAGGGTGCTTAATGTTGCATGCCCCTCAATACTTGAGAAAGTAAAGGCCCATTTACACGGTGCCAGTTTCTTGCCTGTTGTATACAATTAAATTGAAGCAATAAATGAGTTGCATGGTCTAAACAACACATAACATTCTTGACTGTTGAACAAGACTTGCTTCAAGTTTTGTTTCAAAACTTTCCTTGGTGTAACAGCACACACAATAATTTCTTAAGCAATTCTTGTATTCAATTGCATTCTCTCTTCCTTTGCAAACATGAGTGCGATGGGTGAGGGTGTTTAATCGTTGCTGTTCTTTTGAGGCAAGAAATATTGAGAAAAGGTCGTAAAAAAAGTTGGACGATAAAATAAATAATAATATATGGACAATAATAAATAAATCTCAATGAAATATATTAAATCTGCATAATCTAACTTGAACACTTATCTTTGACCCATTTTTTTAAAAATAAACAGCCCTTTTCAGAACGTTCAACACTTGAACGAAATATTTGTCAACGCAAATACGTGCAATACTTGAAGCAACACGCCAATAAATTGTACACGCACATACAAGCATGTGTTTAGACAAGTCAAAACTTGAAACCAATAATCGCCTAAACATAATTGCATTGGTGTAAACAAAAGACATTTGCAATTATTTCTTGTCAAGACTTGCATACAATAATCGCATTCAATTTTTTTTACTATATCTGCGTGTAAACTGTTGCTTACAATTCTTGATGGTCAATTATTGCGCGCAATTTATTGCATTCAATTATTGCTCTTGTATGTACAAGAAAATGGCATCGTGTAAATGGGCCTTAAGCCTCGTAGTCCCCTACAAATATCCTAGATCTCATATTACCAAACTATTTTACATTCCCCCGTATCGCACCAATTTAGGACTGCATAAGTCATTCTCAAGAATTTTGTCTGAATACAACTATTTGTCTGTATCAAACACCGAGCTGGATATTTTTGGCGATTCACGTTTTTAAAAAGAAATTGTTTTCATTATTAGCATGTTAGATTTCACATATCAATTTACTAATATGCAAGCATATTCGATGTCTTTTGTAAGTTTAATTTAGTCTACTGATAATTTATCTTTAGTGTCCACTTCCTATTTTTTTTTTTTTTTTTTAGTTTATAAGTGTGTTTAACTCTTTTTATCAATATTGTGTATACCTGTAATAGGCATATATATATGAAAATTGGCCCTATAGCAAAGAATATATAAATAATATTATATTTTATGCTGTTGGTGTACCTAACAATAAATAAATAAATAAATTTTAAATAAATTTACTTACAACCTGCTGAAGTAATTGGCAATGTTTTGAATTTTTTATTACCTGTCATTGATAATTAATATACCACTGTGAATAAATGTCAGTATAATAGTGTTGAATCTATTTATATTTTTGGTACATATTATCACACAACGTTATCTATTCTAAACATACTTTTCTTATGTAAATAAATGTTATATATACAGAAAGGCTTTTTTAACTGTATCCATTATTATATTAAATTCTAGACATAAATAATGTTATATAAAAGATGATAAATATTTAAAATCACTCGTAATTAATTAAATACATTCATTCGAACTTATCACAAAAATTGCGTCATTTATGGGCAACTCATTTATTTTACGCGCGATCATTCACAACTAACACGCGCACAAGTTCATTTCAAAAGTATACGACGCATTTATGAATGACTACCGCATTGTCAACAAGTTCTATTTTTTAGGGATTGGAATGGCAATTTTTGTAAAAAAAAAATAAAAGTTTGTTTTATTTCAATAAACGATTATACTAACGAGTCTGAACCTCCTGTGCGAATTTGGGCACCTTTAGAAAAGTCAACCTGTATATATACAAACACAATAAAAATACTTTTGTTCATCACACAGTATTCTTCCAGTAGTGGGTAACGAGCCCACACCCTCTCGCGCGAGATACAGTTCTACCCTCCACTACGTATCTGTCCGTTTGCTCGCAGGGCATAGATAAAATAGTTTTCCTGCCGTTCGCCTACACCCTGGACCTGTTCCGCTACGGCGTGTTCCGCGGGGAGACGCAGCCGGAGGACTACAACTGCCACTACTGGCGGCTGAGGGAGATGCTCCAGGGGGTCGAGCCGCCGGTTAACCGTACGGAGGAGGACTTCGACGCTGCGGCCAAGTACCACGTTTCAGCCGACGTTGAGTACGCGAGGTGTGTTGTCTTTCGCACGACGATGTACGAATTGACCATTGGGGTAGTCAGATGATGTTCGTAATCAAACGATCGGTCCTAAACATATGTACTGCAAACCGGCAAAGGCCTCCTCTGATCATAGGGTATTAGGGCATAGTTCACTACGCAACCGAGTGGGGATTGGCGGACTTCACAGTGTACGAAAATATTTTTTCTTTTATTTCGAAAATATGCAGGTTTCCTCACGATGTTTTACTTCACCGCTGAGCACGTGATGAGTCAGCACTTAAAATAATTTCTTCGGTGCTGGCACCGGTTTAGAACTCTCGTTGCTTGAGTATATTGAATGATATTGAAAGAATAATAATGAAACTGTTGAATTGTGTCGTTACTATTTGATTTATCTGACCCAAAATGTATATTTTCTCTTTGCGCTGAATGAACCAACGTTTTATTAATTCCTTCATGTTTTTATTGCAGATACTACGTGTCTTTCATCATACAGTTCCAGTTCCACCGCGCCCTTTGCCAACTGGCGGGTGAATATGTCCCCGAAGACCTTACCAAGAAGCTGGTGGATTGCGATATATACCAGAGCGTCGCAGCCGGAAATGCTTTATCGTACGTGTTTACTTCGAGTTTAAATTTGACATAGTCGTTCAATTATAGAGTATTTGAAGAACTAGTCAAATTTAAAAGCAATTGTGATTAATCAATGCTATTAAAAGTATTACCAATTACATCCTCACCTCAAATCAAAGTAATTGAAATTTATAGAAGGTAACATATTTAGGATGGTACTGATACTACAATTTTGATACCATTTGATTTTTATGTATACTACGTATGTACTATAATTTGATTATACATAAATGAATATATCGCCAGCATTATATTCGAAGAGCTATATTGGATTAAGTTAGGCAAATCAGTGGTTCAGCTCACATGAATTATTTCTCACTCAAAAATATTTTCATACAATAAATATGTAAATATTTTCATAACGCTCATTTAATTTCGAAACAAGTCAACTTCAAAAATCTCGCTCTGTATTCTTTTCATAATTGATTACCAGGAGTTCCCTTCGTATCTCCGGAGCACAAAGTCTAATACCAAAGAAATTAATATGAAATCACATCAGAAGCACCAGTTTTCAAATAAAAAAAGAATCATCAAAACCGGTACAATCAGTCGAAAGTTCTGAGGTAAACATAAAATGATTAAAAAAAACCCAGTCGAAAGACGACGTTATGACGGTTAAAATTATCCACAAGACGGAAAAAAAGACGACGTTACGAAGGTTCGACAATTTAAATAACACGAAGCTCTCTTCCGACAGGAACATGCTGAAAATGGGATCGTCCAAGCCGTGGCCCGACGCGATGGAGGCGCTGACCGGCCAGCGGGCGATGAGGGCGGACGGACTGCTGGAGTACTTCCGTCCTCTGCACGAGTGGCTGCAGGCGGAGAACCAGCGAACAGGCGAGCACATCGGCTGGGAGCCGAGCAGGATACGTGAGTGCACGTTTCAAGGCATTTTGCTTTATAGATCGTCCCATCTCACGCTGTCGATAACGTTGATTCGGGACAACTTTATTTTTTGACGTGGGAAAAATCCTTTATGTTCCCCGCCGCGGATCGTGTGGGATATTTAGTAAGAGGTATAAATTAGGTGCCGAACTTTATGTGGGAGTCCCGGTCAGAAACGGGTATAGAATAAAAAAAACCCACGTTGCACCGGTCTCCGTCGCATCGGCCGGTGACACGGGAACATGAAGATGCAATCTTCCCCGACCCCGGCACGACTAAGGGCTAACTAGGCCTCCTCTTGAGTCTGGACAACCTAACCTGAAGAGCATGGCTGTGGTGGGGCCATACAGCTGTCTGCTGTTTCACGAATGGGCAGGCTCGTCCGGGGCGTTTGCTTGATAAATTGTTGTATACAAAGAGATAACGTTGAATAAGAGAACCTTACCTGAAAACCATGACTGCCCAAAAGTGGCAACGCATCTGCGACCCTACGGGTGTTGCAGATGACCATGGACGGTGGTTATCACTTAACATCCGATCTCTTGCCACCTTCTCACGTAAAAAATCGGATAAATGAAACATTGTCATATGAGGGGTTGACTATATTTCTTTATGAGGATACCTGGCGTCATCTGATTTTATCAAGTCAAGTCAAGTCAAATAATCTTTATTCAATATAGGCTTAACTTAAGCTCTTATTGAACGTCAACAAAAGTCTACCACCGGTTCACTAAACTAGACCTGAACAGAGAAGAACCGGCAAGAAACTCTGCGGTCTTGTTCTTTTTGTAATTTTTTTTGTGATGCAATTATACAAACTTATTTAGTTATAAAATCAGCAGCAGCCAGTGGTCTTGCAATTGAAGAGCAAATGAAAGTTAAGTGATGGACGTCTAGCACATCTTAAACATGCCAAGCTTAGGCCTGGTTATCCCACTGCTGTTTCGTTATTTTAATTTGTTTCTTTCTGAGCATTTAGACACGCTTCGCGGTTACAGAGTACTGCACGAGCGAGCAAAGAGCCGCTCTGGACGCGGCGCAGGGGGCGGCGCCGTCAGCCACCGACACGTGACGCACCACGTACTTACAATTAGCCTATTTATGTAGCCGAACGGCCTATTAAACATTTCTAAGACAGGCCCGTCGTTTTATTTCCCCAATGCGGCCCAACAGTGCAATGTTGATTCCTTGGAAGACTTTTCCCCTGTTATAGGATCATCTTTTGAGATGTTCTCTGTGTTTTGATTTAAATTATATTAAAGTTAATTTAAAACTAAAAAATAATCTGGTACCGTGATGTGTGTATGTGAATAATGAAACGTTTAAGAGAATCGTGAAAAGTTCAAATTTGGAACCCTGCCGACTCCTCTCAAAGAAAGTCGTTCTCTTTACTTTTGTATTATGTTATTATAATATCGATCTTAGTTAATCAAAGGACTCGTCCGTGCGGGAATCGAACCCACAGTTTATGGCCTGAAGTCTGAATACGCCAACGGAGCTATCCCGGTACATAAGTTTTTGTTTATTTTAGAAGTACCAAGATACTTGCATTATTCTCTTCGTAACTTGTAAAGCTTTACTAGTTTAATTCTACTTTTGATATTTACTGCCAATAATTGAGAAATAGATAAAACTAAAATATTAAATGTATATTAGGCAAAAATTGATAGTCCTTTTGTTTATTTATCAGTTAAGTTTTTTTATTGTCTCAGTTACGATAAGAAATTAACTTGATGGTATAGAAATAACTATGTATGCATGTATGCATAGTTTAAGAGGAAAATTGCGAGTAAAACATGCTCTTAGGACAATGTCGCTTAAATAAAACATCAGGCAAGTGGTTTTAAACTCGTTATACTAGCATTTTGGTTCGGCTTTGCTTCATTATCGTTTTTATATTTACAATATCAACCACGTATATACACAAAAACATGGGTACAAGAGTATCTCTGTCTGTGCCGACGTGCAAGCATGCATATATTATATATATCTTTATATATTATTCCTAAGAAGTTAAATACATGTTTACATAATATGTAATTTTGATATTCTTGATGCCCCTAAATCACATCTACCAATTTCGCCTGTAAACACACAGATGGTGAATGATGTGTTCGATCTGTTTCCATATACTTATTGCTAAATCAGCAATATTCCATGTTCTATTTTACTTATGACCCCACTTATAAATATTCAAGAAAACAAGGAGCATTGCGAAAATGTAACTTAAAAGACCTTCAAAATCCAAATATTATTTAAAAATCGTCATAAAAGAAGCAAAAGCTTTTATTACAAACAGACAATCGAACCATGCATAAATAACAATAGGAAAATAAAATAAAATAGGCGGTTATCATTGACATCGTATATATAAAAGTATCAGATCTCCTTCAGTTGTTTATCTGCCGCTGCCAGCGACGGATCAGATTGGTAAGTTATCTTAATTCTATACTTGGATATAATTTGCTATACAGTAAAATAATTCTAACTAGACTGCACGCAACACATATTAAACATGTCGATCTGAATGATGAAAAGTAGGTAGATTTTCTCAGATATAATGGTATAAAATGCTGTTGTGAGTTCTGTAAAAATATGTCATAAGCGCCATAAAAAAATTAAAGAAAAGGCGTAAAAATTTAATGTGGTAGGGCAACAGCTTCGGCTGTTGCACGAATGGGCAGGTCCGTTCGGGTAAGTGTCATAATTCTTCGTTTCGTCTGGCAAGCGACTTAGCCAGGGCCCATTTTATTAAAAGGTGGCAACGCATCTGCCACCCTACGGGTATTGCAAATATCCGTGGGCGGCGGTTATCACTTAACGTAAGGTGAACCCTCGCTTGTCATCTTATCACATAAAAAATATGTTTAATTATTTGGCTAAGAGGCTAATTAGGCCACTATTACTATTTACCAATATTAAGAATGATTCAAGATCGAAAATAAATGTGGGCGGCTCAAGTCTGAGTTTGCGAAATCCTTGCGCCTTGGTAATGCGACCTTAAGGATCTTTATAGCAGGTGTCTTGGCACTAACAAGCTCCAATGTTAAATGACGGAAACAGCCTTCAGTTTCACGCCAAGTTAATTCTTTAGTACGTTGATAAATTAGCAATACTGTAATCTTATTGAAATGCTTTCGCAACAGTTAATTACTTTACGATATATATCAATATGTACTAAGATCTCGATTACTGTATCGAATTGCTATGTACCAGATGCTTATAGTTAATGTTATTGAAACAATTTGATAATATTTTCAAGTTGTGTTGTAGTTAATTCTGGGCAGTAGATCGCGTCTATAAAGAGGGATTCTTAGTAGGTGGTCACCACATGGTGTATGAATTAAGTGCCGGGCTTTATATGCTTTGTACCGATTGATTTCTCCAACACAAATGTTCTTCTCATTATTTTCATTGGAATTAAACAATTTTGGAACAAGACACTAATCGAAGGCTGAGATTATTACTAATTTTTACAACAACTAACAGCTGCTTAGTATTTTACGAATAATGTTTCTTGTTTTTTTTATAACTTAAGTCTTTGTTGATATAAAATTGAATGTTATAACTCCATTTCTAATGAATGGCTTACCTACCCGTTACTTACTAGCTCAAATTAGTTCCAACTATAGAATCGTGGAAATAAACGAAACTTGTTCGTGACATTCTTACAGTTTTTGAAATTTGGATAGGAGTATGCCATGCGCTCAAAGAAGTTATTGTGTTCTTCCTGGTGTATTTAGCTTATTATTGCAGCCTGAACATTTACATAGATTCAACAAATAAGGTAACCATGTTAATTCTAGATATGGTATATTATTGCAATATAGTGACCGCGAAAAACAGTATTTATTTTAATGGAATCGGGTTGATATCTAAGTTCATAACGGTCGCGAAATAATGTGCATTACTGTTAATTACCAAACCACAAGCGAGAGATTTTTTAAACACGTATACAAATATATATATGTCTTCTTATTTGGTTTCGAATTGCTAATCGTGATTTTCAAATAAATTGTTACATTAACTGATTACTACTTTTACTTCAAAAAGTGTAAGAAAATTAGTAAAGAACGCTGTCATATTGTGGGCCATAAAGTATTAGGAATTTAATAATAACATGGGATTGTAACTTGATGAATCATCTTTTCAGATGAGTCTCATTTAGTATGTTTATATGTAAATAAATGTTCCAGGTTGTTGTTACCATCACTATGGATCACTATGGCTCAATTTAAAAGTAATCAAAAATAAATTAAGTTTTATTTATTTTCTTCATCACTACAGCATACCATCGACCTCTTCTGCATTGGTTTCGGCGGCAGCTTTGTACGTAAACAAAAGACTTCAATTTCCACAAGCATGACAGACAGACAGTCATAGTAATTCGTTTACATATAAATAAGCAGGCCGTTCACGGCTGCCGAAGATTCCAGTATGCCGAGACAGTTTGCTAGCGTCGTACTTGAGGTGTCATTGGAGTTTATGAAAAATGCCCTGTGGCTATTGCACGGAAACCACAAAGAGAGCTCTGTTTGTGAGTAGCTTAAGAGTGAAACATTGTCTTAGCCGTTTACAGCTTCAATATTCTATCTATACGTGGGTTTGATTACTGGCGATAGACATTCTGTACAAAATGTCAAAATTCTGTCTCCAGTAAACAAATTCACAGATAGATATGATATTAAAACCGGTCGTTAGACTATTCTAGAAATAGTAGATTTCAAATAATGAGTAACAAATAAAAATATCACTAAGAGTTCAAGAGCTGCAAGATTTTTTTAACATTTTACGATCATTGGCAGATATTTTAAGATTAGGAATAATAGAAAAATGTCGATGGGTGCTTTAGTTTTACACATTAAAAAAAAAGTGTGTGTGTGCGTGTAACCTTTACGCGCGATTGAAGTAAAACTTCTTTGGCGTTGAGGTCATAAGTATATGTCATATTTTAAAAATATGACATATACTTATGGCGTTACTTCCGTCAGAAAAAATCTGAGTTACTCCCTAGTCGCACCTAAAGAAGTTTTACTTCAAAAACTCACAATTAGAACATTAAGATCTGAGAATTGTGTTTAAACGGAATTAAAAAGGATTTTAGCTTCTTAATTTTACAATAATGATAAATTTAAGTTTTTAATAAAGTTAGGAGTGCATTTGAAACTATACGAACTGTACATTAATTCATAGTCATTTTGTACTCGTTACTTAGTTGTTCCCACTCGTTAATATTTTAACAGATAGTATGGTGAACGTACGCAAGTGCAAAATAAGTCCTTTTGCAGAATATACTCATATACATTTGTAACGTTTTGAATAGAACTCCTTAATTTTATTTATTTTGTACTCATCTGATAATGTTAAAAGCTGGTACTTTTAAATCTGTAAAATAAATTTGCAGAGATATGCTATTATTTTGAAATAAATTTTACCGAGCCTTCATCAAGGATCAAGGAACGAATTAAAATACAAACTGATATCTTCGGAACGCCATTGTTTACGGTATCAAGACACCTTATACCACATGAAACATTTCAAGTTCTGTATCTCTGTATTCTGTAGTAATCTTGGCGATTTAAGCTGAGGAAGCCTGTCGATCCGACTGTCACTTTTTTTTTTATTTTTGTTTTTATTTTTACCCATACAGGCGTTACGAATACTCAAAGTCGTTGGATGGTGGGATACAATATCTGGGATATAATACCTTTATAAGTAATTTTAAATTATAAAAATATATTATATAAGTACAACGACCCAATTGACGTAGCGGATTGTGACCCTGTCTCTTGCGCCAAATAGTGTGGGTCCGATTCCCACTACTGGAAAAATATTGTGTGATGAAAATAGCATTTTTCTACTAGGTGTTATTATATCTATAACATATATTTATTAACAAAAGAAAAGTACGTTTAAGAATGTTTATCAGTTACCCATAATACAAGCTTTACTGAGTTTAGGACTAGATAACGTTGTGTAAAAATATGTCAGGAAATACTGTATATATTTTTATTTCTTTAGTAAAGTAAAGTAAAGTAACAGCCTATACAAGTCCCACTGCTGGGCAAAGGCCTCCTCTATACAGAGGGTATCAGGGCATAGTCCACCACGCGGCCCCACTGCGGATTGGCGGACTTCACATATCTTCGAAATATTTTTTGTTATTATTTCGAAAATATGCAGGTTTCCTCACGATGTTTTCCTTCACCGCGGAACACGTGATAAGTCAGCACTTAAAGTTAAAAACTTCATTGGTGCCGGCACCGGGGATCGAACTCAGGTTGCTCGAGTATATTGAATTAAAGGCGAGCGCCCGGACACTGAGCTATCACGGCTCTTAGTAATATTATAAATTAAAAACAAATCCAAAATAGTTGCCACCTTGAAATTGTACTTATTATAATTATGTAAAAATGACCTAAAATACTGCAGAAAGAGATGCAGCAATATACATGTTGTAATGTGCCGGAACAGTTTTTGTATTATTTCTAAGTTGCGGACGTTAAACGTCTCTCCCTTTCTTATACATAATGTGTGTTCTATATATTAAACATTTACTGAGCTTAGAGAAAGACAGACTTCAATCAAACAACTGATATTGTTGGCAACACGCTTTTCTTAAAAGTTGTCATTCAGACACCAAAATATACTTATCATTGCATAGTTTTTTTGTCACATATCACGTAATACCCGTCTGTCACGTAATTCGAATGCTAGCGTTAAAGAAGCGCCATGAATTGTCTGGATTCAACATTCAACATTTTGGGAATCAACATTTCGCGAATTCAACATTTTAGGAATTCAACATTTTGCAAATTCAACATTGTGGTCCTGAAGGATTACTTTATCTCTATTTCTACGCCCCTTCTATCATACGTATAATAGTAGGACTTATCAAACTCAAATTAAATTAATTAAATCACAACACGATACGAGATATTAATAAAATCATTTGATATGAAATTAAACAAATTTATATAAATATTTTAAGATATATTTTTATACATTGTTATCTTGTCCAAAATTAAGCAAAGATTTTACTATTGATGGGAAGTAACTGACTACATATTATAGATATATAAACACCCAGATGCTAGAAAAACACTATGTTCATCTCACGATATTATTCTAGTGGGAATCGAACGCACACCCTCTGGTGCAAGAGACTATCCATTATCCACTACGTCAATCGAGTCGTCAATAAATATAAAATTCAACTAAGATCCGAACCAATATACAATACGATGACCATACGTAAATGATTTTGTACCGTACTAGTATTTTTGACGGGAGTCGTCACCATCAACAAGTCTGTATCTTGTCTTTATCTCTGTCAGTATCTTATTGATTTGATAAAAGGTTTAAACGATGATTTCTACACATACGTATCTTGTCCATCAGTCTGTCAATGCGATAACAGTTTACAATTTAATAAAAGCAATTTTATAATATTTATAATATTCGTATGAAAGAGACGATACAATTTTTCATATTTTTACAGTAATATATCCCCATATAACAATTCAGTTTTACTTAATTATGAATTGTTTATTATTGTTCCGAATATTATTGTTTTTTTTTTTTCAAATCATCAAAACCAACAAAATCTTAGTCCGGTTCCGAGACAAAACTGATATATTAAGTTTCATAAATAACATTTGGTGTAACCCTAATTATTTAAAAAAAATAACAAATTATCTCGAAATTGAAAAGTTCTCAAAGACCGTTGAAGAAATCACAGTCATGAATCGGCGCTAGATTGCGATTCAAAATAATCGTTTGTAAAAAAATATCATGTTATAAGTTACAACCAAGTATCTTCTAGAAATGTCTGAAATTGTAGCGTAATATGACTAATCCTCACGTTTGAAAATAACCCGTTCAATCCTCTTCATTTCAACGGTAACGAATCCTAAAGGCCCATTTACACGGTGCCAGTTTCTTGCCTGTTGTATACAATTAAATTGAAGCAATAAATGAGTTGCATGGTCTAAACAACAAATGGTCTTAACAATTATTGCGCGCAATTTATTGCATTCAATTATTGCTCTTGTATGTACAAGAAAATGGCATCGTGTAAATGGGCCTTTATCCTCTCGTTTGTATCGCCCCAAAAAGGCTACACGATTCATATCGAGATGAAATAAGTATTATAAAAGATTTCTATGCATTCCAAAAACGTCGTCATTATCTTTTGTGTTTACTTAGTGATCCAAATAAATGCCTTGACATTAATGTTTTTGCGGTTACTGTTCTTTATTTATGTAAGCATTTTATTGCGCATTTAATAGTCCGAAGTGGCCGCTTCGCGGAGTTTAAGGTATTTATATTTATTATTTGTTGTACTGTAGATGTTATCTCTTAGGAGATGTTTTAAGCCCTACGGCTATAATCGAAGAGTTTAATTATATTCAGTATTAAAGTCAAGTGTGAATACGTACTTTGTTACACTGGTAAAAACTTATTTAGGAATAAAATTATGTGTCAGTGTTCCGGCAACATACATCCATGCTTATTGTTTCGCCCACATCAATGCTACATATATCTTCTATCAGTATTTAATGTAGCATTCTAATGATAGAATCGTAACTCATGGTGTAAACTTACGCATTTAAAGTTAGTGCTTATTCTCACATACGTAGCTCATGTTTTCATTGATTGCGGTGCGAAGAATAAAGATATAGAATAACATACTGGATACATTTTTAACGCCAGTGCGATATCTTCAGATGATGATGAAGATCCTAGGAGAGCTGGCCCTTGTGGGGGCCATAGCGTCGGTGTTCATCGTCGCTGCGCAGGGTCGCGCCGCTGAGCGGGCGGCGGAGGAGGCAGCGGGCAGGGAGTATATAAGGACACTCGATGAGCTCACGTCCAAGGCAAGGAACAAAAGGGTCATCGCCAACTGGAACTATGAGAGCAACATAACAGCTTATAATGAGGAAGTACAGGTGAATGATGAATAATTATATTTATATTGCATTGATAGTGACTGCAGTTGAATATCACATCTTTTATGTCTGTGTAAAGTTCGATGATGTGATATTGTTTATGATATTGTTGATGCGATGTTGTGTGTTAATATTCTAATGATTGTGATTTAGCTGTTTTCAAAGAATTGATATAATGTGTAAATAAATAATAATGAAAAGTTTAACTTGAAATATTTAAGTATCGTAATTCAATACAGAATAATTAAATAATGGCCATCGATATAAGTAACTGTATCAAGTCGTCAATCAAAATGTTTTTGTTAACCGACTTCAAAAGGAGGAGGTTATTTTAATTACAAATTCTCAGAGTTGACTACTATCACAATTCAGAAAAGACTATTCACTAATGCCTTGTTTGCTGAAATACTTTTAGATGCAAGTATACCTAGAGGTGGCCGAAGAGGAGAAGGAGTATTGGAAAGAGACAATGACGTACTTCTGGCGCGAGTTTGAAGATGAGGACTTGAAGAGGATGTTCAAGAAATATTCGCAGTTAGGGACGTCCGCGCTGCCAGAGGATTTGAACCAGAGGCTCATACAAGCCGTCAATAACATGCAGGCGACTTACGCTAAAGCAACTATCTGCGATTACAAAGACAAGACGAAATGCGATTTGCACGTTGAACCTGGTACGTTTATACGAAATTATTAATCTTAAAATTACAAGGGTAATTAAAATTGTAATTTGATTCCGTTTTAGCATTACAAACACTTTTAATTGGATTTAAAATTTGATGATGTTGAGGTAGTTTTTAATGTTACAGAAGTAACGGATATATTCGCTAACAGTGAAGACCCTGAAGAACTGAAGTACACTTGGGTAGAATGGCATAAGGCAGCCGGTGCACCTTCTAGGGGCAATTTCACCGAATACGTTGAGATGGACAATGAAGCGGCAAAGTTAAATGGTATGACCTATAATTTGTTACCAATTTCTATACGAATTTGCTTTTGAATATGATATAAAGGGTTCTTCGTGGAGCTTTGCAGTATTGACTATGCAATGATAATATTAATTTTAAATAACTATGTTGGTAGTCACACTTTAAATGGTAAAGGGTTAAATGAAATGATTCGTGTTGTTATTATTTTTATGTGAGAAGGTGGCAAGGGGGCTGGCGGTTCATATTATGCTTAGAGGTGGTTATCACACCGACCATTGACATTTGTATCAACTATAGGATTGCATATGCGTAGCCACCTTTTAATAAAGTGTGCCCCAGCTACCTCACTCACCAGAAGAAAAGCAGAAGTATAACACTTTCACTTCACGCAAGTCTTCTGTGAGTTTGTGGTACTTACGTGGACGAGCACGCCCATTTGTGCAACAGAAGCTGTTGCTTGACCCAACCACAGTTATTTTAACTTTTTTTTATTAATAAAATTAATTCAAGGATTTATTTTAATTGCGAATTGAAACAAGTTTATGCCATCTAATCGTGACTGTACATGCAATTCTGCAATTGCAGGCTACGATACCGTAGCGGAATGGTGGCTGGGCGAATACGAGACAGCGGACAGTGAGGATCAGTTCATTGCGCTGTGGAAACAGGTGAAGCCTCTGTACCAACAGATCCACGCTTACGTGCGTCGACACTTGAGGCTGAAGTACGGCGAGGACGTTGTCTCCGCGAAGGGGCCGCTACCAGCTCATTTACTTGGTGCGCTCAAAAATTTTTAACTGTCTATTATATCCTTACCCACGGTAACTCTATTATCTCAGTATTTTTAATCTCAATGTTAAAAGATTTAAATTTAAAAACGAATACATTGTATTGTGTGTGCCTAATATAATTTTATGAGTAGAGAATTGACGAAAAAATGTGCTCTATGGTTTAATTTTGATAACGTTTATGTTATTGTTAATAAATATTATTATTTTATAATTTCAAGCATTTACGAGGAAGGTGCATGTTCTGATGAGTATATATAGACTTATTACTTCTTTTCGCCGTCTCTTTTCTAATTGCATTATTGTCCTATTTTCAGGCAACATCTGGGCACAAACATGGGGTGGCGTTGAGAAGTTCACCAGGCCATACCCCGACAAACCGGACGTCGATGTGACTGCTGCTTTAATTAGCCAGGTAGGCAAGGACTGGCCACAAAATTTCAAAGCGTGAGGGCAATGAATATCGTACATTAAAATTATGCTTTTTACGTGTTTAAGAATTACACGGCGCTCAAAATGTTCAAAACTGCCGAGGAGTTTTTCACATCGCTAAACTTGAGCGGAATGCCAGATTTGTTTTGGGAGCGATCGATCATAGAGAAGCCTGACGATGGACGTGAGATGGTGTGCCACGCATCGGCGTGGGACTTCTTTGATGGTGAAGATTTCAGGTGAACGGCATAAAATTATAAGTAAACTTTTTATTCTTATTCTTATTCTTATTCTTTATTGTACACAAAAAAAATACAGTTACAAATAAAGGATTACAAAAAGACTGTACAAAGGCGAGCTTAACCCTAAACAGAGTTCTCTGCCAGCAAACCTTTCGTAATAATTAAAAATAAATAAGTAATCAAAGGAAAATAGGTAGGTGTGTACGATGAAAATTAACTTACAGACTAAAATAAGTAATTTTTCTTGTTTTTATTATTGAAACATTGCCCTCATTGTAGGATAAGTTCATCCTGTGTTGTAAGGACGTTTGCTAACATAAAGTTCGCGTGGACAATCATTCAGATCCGAAGGAAATATATGCGGGTCACACAAATAGTTGTCCCGTTTTGGAATCAAACCCCGGAACTGAAGTCGATACCTTGACAACTGAGTATTCATGCTGTACATTAGTTGTAGTTAGTAATATTTCTTATATGCAGGATAAAACAATGCACAACCATAACGAACGCTTTCTTCAAGACCACTCATCATGAGATGGGCCACATTCAGTATTACCTGCAATACAAAGATCAACCTGTTATCTATAGGGAAGGAGCTAATCCAGGTAATTTGTTTATCAATGCATGTATTTAAAGATTGTATGACATACTGCAAGTGATTTATTTGTTATTATTAAGCCATTAATTAAATTAACTTTTAACGAATGTAGTTACAGACGATAATTATAAGGTCAAAGATATTTCAAACTGTTTTAGGGTTCCACGAAGCAGTTGGCGATGTAATTGCATTGTCGGTATCAACACCAAAGCATTTGCGAGTGATGGGATTATTGGAGGATGGCCCAGATGATATTGAGTCTAACATAAATCAACTCTATAAAATGGTAAGACATGATTTTAAGAAGACATTCGGCAAAAAAAGTAAATGAATAAGGGCTGGAGAGGGTTCGAAACGTCAGGAATTAAGAATCAAAATTAAAACGCGATAAAGTCCGTAAACTATTTTCATTTAATATGAATAAATGAAGTCAATTCCTTGTATTTTCTGTTTCAAATTAGGTACTGCCTTTTTTCTTAATCCATTTGCTAAATAAACATACTATGTAAACGTTTGAAAATTGGAATGACAATCAACTTTGTTACAGTTTCACCTTAATATATTCAAGTTTCTTTATTTGCTAGTAAATAGATACAGAAATATTTTGGTCTTCTTGCCTTGTTGTCGTCACAAATGCCAAGCTAACCTATTTAGATGTTTTTAACAGCATGCAAATGTCCAAAAGATATATTTGTAATACAGTTAATTCTAAAATGATTATTTTTTACGAAAAACTAAAGACAATTATTATTATTATTATATTATACAATTTTGATGAAAAAAATTACACATAGTTTATTGAAAACGAATTTACAGTGCATCATGTTCCACACTTCCAGGGCTTGGACAAAATAGTGTTCCTACCCTTCGCCTACATCCTCGACTTGTTCCGCTACGGCGTTTTCCGCGGGACGACCACGCCGGACAACTACAACTGCCACTTCTGGCAACTGAGGGAAGCTATCCAGGGCGTGGAGCCGCCAGCGCCGCGAAGCGAGCAAGACTTCGATCCCGCTGCGAAGTACCACATCGCAGCTGACGTTGAATATATGAGGCAAGTTGTATTATAAAGCATCGGTATCAGTATACCTACGTTTTTGTATACGACCTTTGCTAGACTATTGATAAGAAATGTCGATTATTTGCGGCGTAGCAAAACGTTTATGTATCTGTATATTTATATCTATGTATCAATATATAATATATAGACCCTTCGTATTAGACAAGAAATTCTATGGTTATGTTTTTTTATTCGTTTTTGTACATTTATGGATGTCTCTTTATACGGTTTCTTAAATGTATACTTTGTCAGTAAGCTATAACTTCCATGATTCTTCATGAAATTTAATAATTCGACACTTTAAAGTGTTAATGACGAAAATTAAGGAAATATATAATAAACAAAACTTTCGTTTAAACTTTTTTAGTACTATTGACAATTTGTTTAAATTAAAAGTATCGAAGTATACTGAAAATAAATATTTTTGAAAATTAGATAACTTAAATTGATAAATACTTATTTATACAAAATTATATAACCATCCGGTGACTGACGACAGTAGGTACTGTGCGAAACTTTCGCAAGGGCAACTAGTTTTTTATCAATTTCGTCTTACTGTTTTCCAGATATTACATATCGTACATTATCCAGTTCCAATTCCATCGTTCGCTGTGCCAATTGGCCGGCGAGTATACGCCGGGTGATTCTGACAAACTGTTGTCAAACTGCGACATTTACAAGAGCACAGCCGCCGGCAACGCTTTAGGGTGAGATTCTCGTTAAGTAACGAAATATAATTTTAACATAATAGCTACAAGGTGCGTTTTATTGGTATCGCGGGGAAAATGTTCAAAAGATCCCTTGGGGTGACAGGGTTATGTGGTCAACAGGGTTCAGTGTCAACTGATCAACTTCTTCGCCGTAAACCAGATACGGACATTGGAAAACTGATTAATTTATTAGATAATTATGAACGACATCCGATTTTAACTAGCGAAGTTTTACATCCCATTTGTTCGGACTGGTGTTACTGGTAATTAAAATACCGTTAATTTTACATTTATTCATTTGATTATTGTACTTACTATACAAGATAGTTAAGTATCGTCATTAAATGTAAATTATGAATTAAAGAAAAATGCTGCAACTGGGCTCGTCCAAGCCTTGGCCGGACGCTATGGAGATGCTGACTGGCCAACGTAACATGGACGCCAGTGGGGTCCTGGAGTACTTCCAGCCGTTGCATGACTGGCTCAAAGCGGAGAACGAGAAAACTGGCGAATACATTGGCTGGGAACCGAGTACAGTTCGTGAGTATGATACAAAAACAACTCGTGACTCAAATTGTGTATCAACCATATTAAATCAACTGTGGTAGGACCATGCAACAACTTCGGTTGTTGCAAGAATGGGCAGGCCCGTCCGGGTAACTCACAGAGGACCAGCGTGAAGTGGAAGTGTTATACTTCTGCGTTTCGTTTGGTGAGCCAGGTACCCGGGGCACTTTTTAAATGGTGGCAACGCATCTGCAACCCTACGGGTGTTCCAAATGTCCAAGGGCGGCGGTTATGACTTAACATGAAGTGGACCGTCAGCTCAAAACAAAAGAAACATTCGTACACATGAAAATCTATTCATATAACATTAGTAACTTTAACTATACCTCAGCATGGTACATTTTACGGAAGCCAGGCGCCATTGTTCATTTTATGAATAGCGTAATCATGTTAGACTAATACAAGTAATTGCTGTGTTGCAATAACAGAGACAGACTGCACGGCTGCACGAATAGCTCAGCTCAATCGGATCGTAACTCAGCCTCACAGAGAACCACCTTGAAATAAATAGTTTAATATTTTTGAATTTCGTCCGAGGAGTGAGATAACAAGAGATCCATCAAGAGATCCAGAGTCTGTCCCGTGACCATGAACGCTGTAAAGGGTTCGAAACGTCGGGAACTAAAATTAAAAATAAACGCGATAAATCCGTAAAATTAGTTTCATTTATAATGTGTAATCGCGTAAATACAAGAAATTATTAAGAGATCCATACTTAGAATGTGACATTCTTCCTAGACATATAGAGTTGTGTGTCCACAGGTCCTTATAGATTTATCAGTCTCGCTTAGTTACCATCTTTATGAAATACTGATCGCTCCAACGATGCTTCAAAGTTTAAGCCGTCCATAATTATGATACGAAATACGAAACCATCGTGATCTATTAGGCTTAAGTTAATTTCGATGACAGTAAATTAGATAGAAGTAAGCTAAGGAATGTAAAGTATGTTAACAATGTAACAAAACTTGTAATTTAAAATAGCAATCTTGTGCCAATGACTATAATTGTTCTATTATAAGTAGGCGCTTAAATAATTATATGAATTTGATGGTAGCTTAAAAATTTTTTGTGACTAACGAAATAAACGTTGATCAAGTGTGGACGCTCTGTTATTTTAACTGTTCCTGATTATTTATAGTGATACATACTAACTGGCGACGAGTAATTTTTTACGATCCACGTGAGTGTTTAATATATTTGTAAAAATGTCTATTGGAAAATTAGAAAAGTTCGATGTAAATGTGGATAACTGGACTTTGTACATTGAACGTCTCGAACAATATTTTATAGTGAATGACGTTAAAGAATCATTAAAAGTGCCCACATTAATAACAATTATGGGATCAGAAAGTTATGATCTTTTGGTAACTTTGTGCATGCCGGAAAAACCGGCTGCAAAGTCTTTTGATGACTTAGTGACCATCATGAAAAATCATCTGCAACCAAAATGTAATATTTTAGTAGAAAGGTATAAGTTCAGACAAAGAAACCAGTTACAGAACGAATCTCTAGCCGAGTATGCCGCAGATTTAAAAAAGCTAGCAAAAAGCTGTGAATTCACTACAGACTGCTTAGACGATAATTTAAGAGATCAATTTGCTTGTGGAATCAAGAACGAATTTATAAGGCAGCAGGTGTTTAGTTGCGAGAGTACTCCGACTTTTGCGAAGGTATATCAGCTCGCTATATCTATGGAAGCAGCAGCAAAGAATGCGACTGCAGTAATGAGTAATCACGATCGGGAATATATAACAGAGAGAGAGAGTACCACAATGAAGCTAATGAAGTCACAAGGTGCGCGCAGCAGACAGCCAACAGAACGAGAGGTAGCCGCAACACCAAATCGTTCTTCGTTTAGCAGTGGCCGATTGACCCGAGGTGGAGCTGCACGGCAGACCACTTCAGCTTTGGTACCAGTTAGAGAGAAGCAGGCTAGATGTCAAGCATGCGGTCGGCAGCATTGTACTTCAACGTGCAAATTTAGATTGTACACATGCCGTGTGTGCAATAAAGAGGGGCACCTTATGAAGGTGTGTCCAAAATACCGGTCAGGCCAGGTGTGTGCCCAGCCGGTGAAACGACTCGAAGAAACCTCGAGTGGAGAGGACACCGATGAAGAAATTAGGGAGGTAAACTTTAACGTTTTCAATATAAAAAATTTAAAACATTATAAACCGTACACATTATCTTTAAAGGTAAACGGTAAATATTTAAAAATGGAAATAGACACAGGTAGCGCCATTTCATGTGTAAGTTACGAATGTTATAAAAAATGTTTTTTGATTTACCTTTGTTAACAAGCAATTTAGTAATGCGATATTATACAGGAGAAAAAAATCTTTCCGGTGGGAAAAATTTCCCCAATGGTAGAATATAACGATAAATGTATGAAATTAGATTTATTTGTTGTGCACAGTGGGAGTAATCCGCTTCTCGGTAGACAGTGGTTACAAGAATTAGGCATTAGTTTACATGCTATACAATGTAATAGTAATAAGGTGGAGAGTTCACTTTTACTCAATACGGAAACTATATTTTCCAGATATTCTGAAGTTTTCGCTGACGGTATCGGTCGTTTTACTGGTGGGACGGTGACACTGCGAGTGCGACCGGAGGCGCAACCGGTGTTCAGACGCGCACGGCCGCTGGCTTACGCGATGCGAGAGGTGGTGGCCCACGAGAGCTGGAACGTCTGGAACGTGAGGGCATTATCACGCCGGTCGAGACTTCGGACTGGGCCACGCCTATAGTACCCGTGGTAAAAAAAGATGGCTCATTAAGAATTTGTGGTGATTATAAAGTTACTATTAATAAGTGCTTAGAAGTGGACCGTTTTCCTCTTCCGCGAGTAGAAGACTTATTAACAAAGTTACATGGAGGCCAAAAATTTAGTAAAATAGACTTATCTCAGGCATATGCGCAATTAGAACTAGATGAAAATTCAAAGAAATATACGGTTATCTCGACACACAAGGGACTGTACCAATATAATAGACTGATCTACGGAATCTCATCCAGCCCCGGTATTTTTCAACGAACATTGGAACAAATATTCTCTGATATGCCCAGGGTAGGAGTTTTTTTTTGGACGACGTTATTATGACTGGTAAAAATGATAAAGAGCATTTAGATACGGTATACAAGGTCATGGAACGATTAAAGTATTTCGGGCTAAAAGTGAAGAAGGAAAAGTGTACATTTTTTGCAAACTCAGTGACATATTTAGGTTTTGTAATAAGTAAAGAAGGGGTTCACACGTGTAAAGATAAGGTGCAAGCCATTAAAGATGTACGTATACCTACCAATATTAACGAATTACGATCTTTTTTGGGAATGGTAATGTATTATGCCAAATTTGTTAAAAATATAAGCATGATTTTATCACCACTTTATAATTTGTTAAAAAAAAATTCTCAATTTATTTGGACCGAACAATGTACGCGAGCCTTTAATAAGGTAAAGAGTATATTAACATCCGGCGTTGTGTTAGCACACTACGATCCTGAATTGCCGATAACTTTGACAACAGACGCGAGCTCTAGTGGAATCGGCGCTGTAATCTCGCATCGAATGGTCGATGGATGCGAGCGACCCATTGCTTACGCGTCTCGTGTACTGAATACAGCGGAGGGGCATTACTCGCAAATAGAAAAAGAAGCACTGGCAATTGTATTTGGTGTAAAAAAATTTCACCAGTATTTATACGGTCGTAAGTTTTTATTGTGCACCGACCATAAACCATTAGTAGCAATTTTTGGGGAAAAAAAAGGCATCCCGACCATGGCCGCAAGTCGTCTACAAAGATGGGCTATAATATTGTCAGGATATAATTATGAGATCGAATATATTCCTACAAACAGGAATGGAGCAGATGCCTTATCTAGGCTACCTATCGGAAAGCCACGAAACGTAAAATGTGAAAAAAACCTATGTACATTATGTACAAGATTTTTTGCCAATAACATTTGAACAAGTTTCGGAGAAAAATAAATCTGATCCCATACTAAGGAAAATTATTATGTATTTGCAATCGGGATGGCCCGGACACTGCTCAGAAAAGGAAGTACAACCATATTTTACAAGAAGAAATGAACTCTACTTGGATTCGAATTGTATCATGTGGGGTTACAGGATGGTAATCCCTGAGTCCCTGAGACAGTATATTTTACGTGAGCTACACGTGGGACACATGGGTATTGTAAAAATGAAAGGGTTGGCTAGAAGCTACGTATGGTGGCCAGGAATTGATGCCGATATTGAAAGGACATGTCATGATTGTTATGCGTGTTCGTCAGAGGCGGCAGCACCACCACGAGCGACACCACAGCCTTGGCCTTATGACCCAGAACCATGGAGCAGACTACATATTGACTTTTTAGGTCCATTCAAGGAGAAGACATTTTTAGTTATAGTTGATTCATCTTCGAAGTGGATAGAAGCATTTCACATGACTCATACTACAACAAGTAATGTCATAAAAGTATTAAGAGAAATATTTTCACGTTTTGGGTTACCAAAACAAGTAGTGTCCGACAACGGGCCACCTTTCACAAGTTCACACTTTTCGGTCTTTATGAAGAATAATGGTATAGAACATATTTTCACGCCTATTTATCATCCATCATCTAATGGTGCTGCGGAAAACGCCGTTAAGTTGTGTAAAAGGGCAATGAAAAAAGCTATAAGAGAGAACTGTGATATTGATTTAGCTCTTCAAACGTACCTCTTTACATATAGGAATGCAATACATAACACCACAGGAAAGTCACCAGCAGAACTATTATTACACAGAAGACTACGATCGAGGCTTGATTTACTGCGTATTCCAAAAATAGGTAGCTCTACTGAAGAAAGAGTCCTTGAGGCACAAAGAAAACAAGTTGAAAATGCAAGGGGCACCCAACGAAACTTTCAAGTCGGAGACCCAGTGTGGATAAGAGATTTCCGGCAAAACAAAAATTGGTTAAGTGGTAGGGTAAGAGATAAGATAGGATCTCGATACTATATCGTAGAAACAGAAGATGGGCAATGTATCAGACGCCATGTAGATCAACTACGCACAAATCATAAAACGGTACTATCGGCGAATCCCAGTCGAAGCGACAATGTTGTGTCCAAGGCGGAAGAACAACGTATTTTCTGGCCCACACACCCGTTAGTGAATTCCGAGTTACATAGTGACGTACCATCACGATCCCTCCCACCAGAAAACTCAGATACGATACCGCTTAAACGTATTAGGAAACCAGTTGAAAGATTTGGCAATCCAATAATGTATTAGGGTTGCAAGTATATTATGTTTATATTAGTTATTAGGAATTCTGTTTACTTTTTCTTTTATTTTGTGTTTACTTATTATTGTTTAGTTACAACTTAGTTTAGCCTTAATTTAATAATGTATTTTAGTGGTAGGGTGTAAAGTATGTTAACAATGTAACAAAACTTGTAATTTAAAATAGCAATCTTGTGCCAATGACTATAATTGTTCTATTATAAGTAGGCGCTTAAATAATTATATGAATTTGATGGTAGCTTAAAAATTTTTTGTGACTAACGAAATAAACGTTGATCAAGTGTGGACGCTCTGTTATTTTAACTGTTCCTGATTATTTATAGTGATACATACTAAGGAAAAGAGTGTTATTAATTTTCCCTTTTCATTCCAGAATATTGCACGGACGAACAACGCGCAGAAATGGAGATCTCGGAATTCAAGAAGGGCTTGGATAAAATCACCGGTTGACATTTTCTGTCGATTATATTATTGTTAATTTAACTGTGTTAATAAAACGATAATCCTGAGTGTTATACAATAATTACCACTACCATAAATGTCACCTGGATAAAACCAGAACTGTCGTAGTAAATCTTGGAGAGGAATGTACGGCATTAGTACACTTGTTTGTGGTAGGGCCACGTAGCAGCCTCGGCTATTGCACGAATGGGCAGGCTCGTCCGGGAAATTACTACGACCTCACAGAAGACCGGCGTAAAGTGGAAGTAAAATACTTTCGCGTTACGTCTGGTGAGTGAGGTAGCCGGAGCCCAATTTTACAAAAGATGGTCAACGCATCTGCAACCCTCGTGTGTAGCTGATGTCCATGGGCGATGTGGTATTCATTTAACATCAGGTGAACCGCCTGCTCGATTGACAACTTTTCGCATAAAAAAAACTTACATTAGCAACACCAACAACCCGGGTGATTCTGATAAACTGTTCTGATCAGAAAAGGCAGTATTTTCTCTATTCGTTACTTTAAGTTCATCTTATATTGGACAGGTAAAGGAAATGAGATGTAAGTAAAGGAATATGTTATGAAATTTGTAAATCATATGCTATATGTAAATCTTAGAACTACGATTATTTTGAAGACCAGTTTTTTACACAAGACAAACATGGTGTAAATTTTTGTTGGTCCATTCATAGATAAATTGTCATCAAAAGCCTGAAGGCGATAAAAAACCGTATATTATATTAGACATTTGCTTAATGCCCTCTAAAATTTTCATTTTATATTTTTTGTCACCTTAAAGCCAATCTCACTCTGTTAGCTCGTTCATGGAAATCATTAGTAACAATTTCAATGAATTATCTACTTACTTACTTTTACGAATACAAAAAACGGAACTTCATTTCTTGAATAGAATCGTTAAAATCCATGTCTAAATACGATAATCGAGAGCTAATTAATTATCGATTTAATTTCTGCTAATATTGTAATTTCCTTACAAATTCGTAAGCTAATATAATTTCCTTACAAATTCGTACCTGTTCGAATTAAGAAGTCTATCATGACAAATTTGAGAATAAATAAGAATCTCATTTATGGGTTTCATCTGTTGCTGTTATAAATTTCGATGCTCATTTATATGTTGCGTCACAATTGTTTTGCATTACCTGAATTCAATTGTATTTTATATGCTTGGAAACAATGTCCACTCTGAAGAAAAGTTCTTTGATCACTTCGTTATTTGGACGACGTTCGCCACAGTCTCTACAACAGATATTACTCATGTCACGAGCAAAAAATTAAAATGCGAATATACACATTTGCAAACAATGGACGTACAGTATAATTATGAAGTTTTGTATTATACCTACGAGTGTAACTACTTTTAATAAGACTAAACGAATCGACTTATCTCTAAAGTCGGTTTTTCCATGCTGTGGAGATTTTCCATTTCAGATCTTCAACTCTAGTTGTCACCCTCTTCATGTGGTGGCGGCTTAACTGTTACTTTTGACTACAATGTGGCAGGGGAACACAATAGTCTTCGCTTTGCACGAATGGGTGGGCCCATCGTGGTATGTATCCACAGACAACCGGCGTGACGTGGAAGTGTTGCTTCTGCGTTTTGTCCGGTGAGGTAGCCGGGGCCGACGTTATTAAAAGGTTGCAACGCATCTGAAACCTTCACAAATGTCAGTGGGCGGCGGTTATCACTTAACATAAGGTGAATCACCAGCTCCCTTGCAATCTTCTTAAATAAAAAAAAATCACAATTCAGTAAAAGCTTATTTCTCTTCCTCTTTAGCTCCGAGTCCTTTCTTTACTTTCGATTATTTGTATGTGGAAGTTGGGACTTGAATCAACTCTTAAAATATCTTTAGCCATAAAGACCTTGTTGACACACAACATGTACCCAGGCTTTGTTATAGAAAAAGGTACAAACAGAGCGGCTCAGGCGATGCTAAGTAATTCCTGTCACTCATGGGTATTAGTGATGAGATTATAGATGGTGACTACATTTTATAGAGGATTGACGGCTTTTTATAGAGGAGGTGCCGGTTTACCTAATCTACATTCGGTGTGTTGCGGCTGAGGTAACTTACCTAGAGCAGTGTTGCCATCCGTGCAAAATTAGAATCTACTGCGTGGTTGTACCGCGGTAAAATAATGGTAGTGAAAATGAAGTTAAGCTTATCGTTCCCACTTATTTTCGTAATAAAAGGACATTTATTTGGAACACATCTAAATTTGTGAGCCGATGATAAATTTTGTCTATAATGAATTGAACCAGAATTTAATACTTGAATTAGATTTTTCTTTGTAACGTAAACGTAGTAGCGATAACAGCGATAGAGTAAAATAGTAGTAATCGTAGTATTAAACAAAAAAAAATTAAACAAGTTAAATAACAACAAATACCAAAAAAACAGAATAAAAAATATTTAAGTGGGGCTCCCATGACACGATCTATTTTTTTTTTCGTTTTATAGACAATGTTACAGAAACCTTCGTGCGGGAAACCTTCGTCTGTCACTTGGCTGGTTTTTTATGTACGTGAAAATGGTTGAAGACGTCATATTTATACCGTTGGTATCTATGAAAGTTAAATTCAATAATATTTAGCTAGGCTGTAAAACACTATTACTTCTTTTCGTACCATATAATACGTCACTCAATCATTCGCAGCGTTGGTCACCACCAACCTTGGTCTCAACCATTACCCACCGCCGTATCGGAGTCGCGTGCAGCCGTGCGCGCAATGAATAGAGATAATGCCATTATTATTTATCTACACGAACAACTCTACATACGTTTGCCTATATGAAGATACTCGATAATCACTCGCGCCTTGTTGTGAGCTAAGCTTTTGAGTGGCTTAAAACGGTAGAGCGGTTAATTCTACATCTGTCTATATTTTCTCTACATATGCAGTTCAGCGTATGCAATGACAGCTTGAGTTAGTCAAGTGGTAGCTTTAATGACAGTCGTGCAGCAAAACAATCTAGAATACAAACGATAATATAAATAAAATTACTATGTTAGAAAATAGATAGAGATGCCTTGTCAAGTTTTGGATTTCATGGAAATTGTATTACTATCTTGTAGTAGAGTTAATAGTTAAAAATTCTGGAAGTAACATTTTCTTCTCTTTATCTATTCGTTAGTTATGTTACGTACGTTATGTAACTAGGCTATTGTTCGAAATGTGCGTATCTTTCGTGCCGACAGTTTTTAGAGGCAAAGAAGATTAAGAGCAAAATCTTTTACTTATTGTATTTGTTAAGTTTTCCACTCAGTTGTAATAAATAATTATAATAATAAATATTTTCGGACAAATTTTTACACATTGTTCTTAAGTCCCAAACTAAGCAACGTTTGTACCATGGGTACTAGCAATCTGATAAGCAACAATTGATTGAATGGTTTCTTTTATATTATTTATTTATTATTTATTGCCAACCTTCAGTAAAACAAGGTAACGAAGGGCGGACCCTAAGGCATTCTCTACCAGTCAACCTAGAATGTGGTGAGAGTTTGTGGTAGGTGAAGCAAAAGATGCAAGAATAATAAAATATTTAATAATTACAAAACAAAAAATAACTGATTATTTTTAAGAAAAAATCATATAAAGTTTAATTTTGATGTCGCTTGTTTGTCCAATTATTTATTATACTACCTGTTTTCTTATGCTGACTATGACAAATGTCTGTCATTCAATGCCAGCGTTTTTAGCCTTGCACTTGTTTTTTTACACTCTTAATCACCAATGGGGTAGACGTGTACGAATTTGTATTCTTGGCGGTACCACGTACCCAAGCAAAGCACGTTTAAGTACAGTAAGTTCGGAAATTCTCACGACAAACTTGGTGTACTAGGAAAATTGTTTACTAGCGTTGATAATTTACAATGAATATCGTTATAGAGTTGTTTTGTCCTGTTTATTTTTTATTTATTTTAACTTTTTTGGCAAGTATGTATGTTTTTATTTCGAGTTTTGTGAAAATATGCTAATAACATTTGGGTAGTATCGTAAGTTGGAATAAGCTGACTTGTGGCAGCCCATACTAATATTAGCGCAGTCTCAATTCAAAATTATATATCATATTCTAATTTAAAATATTTTTAATGTTTTAATTTTTGTTAAAATTAAATTTGTTATTTCAATTAACTTCACGAAAATAATTAATACTTAATATGTCAGTTTTATATATACTAGTGGTCGCCCAGTGTTCAAAATTCGACCATAATTAATTATACTGTAATGTTTTCTTTTTAATCGATTAAGTGTATTTATGCATAATTTTCCTTCAAGTATTGATTAGATTATAATTCAAGTATAGATTTTAATAAAAAAAATTACTGACCTGTAATGCCGGCTGTACAGGTTATGTGTGTAATGATAATATACAGATCTCCTATTGATCCAAATAATTAAACGAATCTCATGAGTTCTCATCGTTCATATTGTGTCCTAACACAATATGAACGATGTCATGACTTCAAGAAAATAAATAAACACGAAGGAAGTTTGTGATCGTAAATATATGTAATAGAATGATATGCTATATTTATATAATGAATGTCATTATTGCTTGGTAAATTTATTTTTTATCTCAATTCTTTAAGCATAATTTATTTATGTATCAGCATTTCCCTCAATCTTTAGTTGATTTAATTTAAGTGAAATTCCATGTATAAATATAATTAAAAATTAAATTGGATATTTAAAAAAAACGAAATAAAGAACAATTCACCCTTTTTGAATTTAATTTTAATATTATTAAATTTTAATGTTCGCGACTCGAAAGAGTAGGTAATTTAGATACATTTTAAAATTTTATTATAAAAAAGATAAGAATGCGACGCTATTTAATTTTAATATTATTTTTAAATTGTTTTTGTGTTCGCGACTCCAAAGGATAATTTAGATACATTTTGAATATTTTATTATAAAAAAGATAAAAATGCGACGTGAGCTACAAGGAAATTTAGGACGAACAAAGCTATGTTTAAACATAATGAAACTCATCAATGAAAAGTGTGATCACTTAAGGACGTGCGCAAAAGATGATGGTGAGAGGCCACAAACAGCAGCGAAACCAGGATTAACACGCAATAAGGTGATGCTTTGTGTATGGTTGGATTTATAGGGGATCGTTCATAAAGATCTTTTAACGCCAGGAAAAATAGAAAAGGAAAAGGAAAACCACCGATTTGGATGTTTACAGCCTACAGCTTATGAGACTCAAGAGCCTAAGATTGCAGGTTTCGATACCTGGGAAGAACTTGAATTTTAGATTTCTATTTCATTAATAATCGTTTTGACGTTAGGTCTTAAAATAAACTTGGTGAAAACTGGTCAAATTTGGTATCCACTCTGTGAGTGAGATAGTGTTTTTGTTGTTATTTATGTATTTTGTTTCCTTTTTTAACAGAAAAACTCTCCCTTATAACCTTAACCCTAGTTTCCTGATATTATTATGTTCAATTCTATAGTTAGCGGTCGTCTTGCTGTATATCTTAGGTAATTTGAATCCAGGAAGTCCGAAAAATTATTAGTGCTGCGTTATCCTAATACGTAAACGATACTAAAATTCTACTACGGTCCTTTTGCATTGAGACAAAGAGAAATATAATTTTTCATTTATTGCAATATTAATAAATTCAGGCATTCTTTAAAAGTCAATTCCCCATAACTGCTGTAGATGAAAAAAGTTAAATGATATTTTTAGATAGGAATGTAGGGAAATAAATGAAAATTCTTTCGTTCAGAGCATTTTCTAAGCAAGACGTCTCAAAAAGCTTTTACTATCGGTTTTTTAGTAATATTGAGTCATATTGAGTCCTTTGGAATTCCTAGCGGTTGAAATTTGAGGTCGCAACATCCTTTGTTGTTAACTACAGGCGTGTCTCGACCCATTTGGTAGCCCTATCGCTACACTTTCGTTTTCTTATCACTTTCCAACGCGTGCGTCCAACTTAGCAGAGATATAAGTAAGCACCTTCTAGAACACTAACGTAAAACAAATGTGAGTCTTCACATTTTGGCTCCATAGGTGAGTACAGAAAGTAATGGAGGAAAGCTCTTGGATTTAGGCAATGTGATCAAGAAATTCACATGTCCCCTGCTTCTGTATCTCCGTGTTTGATGAGATGATGATTAAGAGAAGGAGTGCAGAATCTTAATATTTTTTAAATTATGCAAAAAATACATTTAATTAAATCAATATAGAAAACATTACTCATACTACCATACTACTCTTTGCTTATTGTGTATTTTATTTGAATAGATTTATATTGTTAATAAATAAATTGTAATTTCTATTGTTCAAACTAATTATTTAAAATAATTATGGTCGAATTTCGATCACTCGGCGTCCACTAGTTAATAATAGCTCGTCTACAAAATTATTTATTTGTCTTTCAATTATTCAATACAGGGTTATTTAAGCGTACTATTGTTGAACTAGCGCGAAGATTGTAATAGATATAATTAATTACAAGTTACACCGCTCATTAGACCCAGTGTTTCATCTCATCAAGGACAAGATATTACCTGTGATTCACCACACCATGATTGCTGTATAATTAATGTCGTTTTTATCGGATCGATACGAAATCGATTTAAATGCCAGGATTAAAAGACGATGTTTCGTTACGGCTGTTTTTTTTTTTGTAATTTCATGGAAATTGTGTTAAGTTTGAAGTCGCCATATCAGGCAAAATGGAGGTTGAAGTATGGTTTTTTTTGACTGATAACTGTTTAGTTTCATTTGTGATTTCTAATGTCTTTATTATATTTTTACATGAGGTCTAATGCAGTATGCAGTTATAAATAAATAAATAATGGTTAGAAAAACAAAGGTTGCACATTGTCTTTCTATAATATCTGCACATCATTATACGATATTAAGAGAAAATTACGTATCTAATACTGTTTATATCTATGCAGTTATAGTAGTAAGTTAATTGCCCAAGGAACGTTCAGAAATTGCGTTTCACCAACCTTAACTTGGCGGTGGAAACAAAACACCTTAGTTTTAATTTTAATACCCAAGGATATCGTCACATATTCGAAAGGTTAAAAACTACAAAACATACTTTAATTTACGCCAGGGAGCAGGGAGGACAAGCCTAAATCAAAATTAATTTAATCATTCATAAGGTTGCGAACGTGCACAGAACACAGCTAATCTTGGACATTAAGGCTCCAGTAACATATGTCGAATCACTGAGTTACGCATTTTATCCGCGAGTCAACTGCAGATAGCACGACAAAGCGATTCACACGCTTCCAGTTCAGAGGTGAGGCGAAAATCGGCGCAGTTGTTGACGCGGTCGCGGTCGGACACCACGCACCAACGGTCGCGGAAAACCTTCAACGGAATCAGCTCACGGTCCAGTCGAGAATGGCCTGCGCCCACGGCAGAAAACCTATCAGGACGTGGTTCTCCCTCGTTTTGCTGGCTCACCTTAGCTTCGCCGATCCCCAGCTGGACCTGCCGCCGCTGCCGCAGGTCTCTAGTACGCAGCGCAACCCATACGGGGGCTACGGCCTCCTATCCAGCACCCCGTCTATAAACAGTCCCGGGAATCAGTACGACGTGCAGAACAGGAACTTCCAGTACAGCACGTCGCGGCCGCTCGCCTCCAGCACCGCGGGGCTGTATCCGGGCTCCTCCACCCCATTCAGCCGGATCAACCCGGACATAAGCAACAACGGCTACCCCAGCCCGGATTACGGGAACGGGCGGAACCCCAGCTCCACGCTCAGGCCGTACGACGTCAACCGGGATGACAGGATCGACGTTAACAGCGATCCCAACTTCAGACGGAACGATCCCAACTTCGCGCGCACCGACCCTAACTACGTTGGCGCCAGCCCGTACGATTTCGGCGGTGATGGTATCGGGAACAGCATAGAGGACAGGTACCAGAGGGTGAATTTGCAGCAAGTGAGGGACTTCCTTGCGCACGCTGACGAGCAGGCGTCCAAGGAGTGCACTAACAACGTCGCAGCTCAGTGGAATTTCGAAACAAACGTCAATGATGCAACCCAACACGCCGCAGTAAGTGCAGAGCATTTTCTTATTGTTCAACCCGTTTTCCGAGACGTTTTAATTATGGCCCACCGCGGCCGAGTCAAAACGGTTCCAGTTTTCCCAAGTTTTTTATGAATTATTATTACCTTGTGTGATTATTACTGAATTCGTTCGTGTATTCTCGCGAATACTACTACTACTACTAACACTACTAAATAAAATTAAGTTATTTATATTACAAAGTAGTAAAAGTTTTACAATGCGTACGCACCCCGACCCTCAAAAAGCAACATGATGCTTGATAAACAGTTTAATCTTACCAACCAATAACAAAATTTGCCAATATTTCCAAGTTATTTAAATAAACCGTTATCAATTGCATATTTTAATTTCTTTACACTATAGAAGTATTACTTACGTACATAAGTACACACCGATTTAATGTTTTTTTTTGGTTATATTCATTGAATTGATTTTTTATTTGATTTGATATTATTTAAGTTAACCTGTTATTATTATACATTTTTTGACTTTTGCGTCATTTAGAGTACTGACTGACTGAAATCTTACGTCACTAAAAGTACAGAAGCGTAATCCATACAAAGTACATTAACAATAATTTGCCTTGTCCCCCGTACATTTCAGATGGTTGTCAATTAAACGATGAACACTATAAACCAATGTATACATATCACGGCCCTGGGAAAACTCAGTTTTGTTATTTAAACTGTCTACATACCTTGCTGAACAAAATCTCCGCTTGTTGGTTGAGCGTTTGAAAATCAAGTTCATTCTATTGTGAGTCTAATTGGAAGTCTAGGCCGAGTGTAAACTTAACTTCATTAACATGTCCAGTGGTGCATCGTAGTATTTCGCGTCCCAAATCTGTTTAAATACTTACGCAACCGATTCTAACAACGAACTCATATGGCTTACAACCATATGACTAAGACAGAGAAAGATATTGTATACGTTATGTCTACTAAGTTTGTGATTTTGCTTATGAAAAGAGTGACAAAGGGTAAACTTTTTGGTGCAAGCCATAGAGATTTTTTTGTGTGGCTTTGTATAAGACATCTGACGTCTCACGTCTGGCTACTACTCCTGTTTTCAATTGGTATTAGTTTAAAAAAATATTACAATACAAAAAATCGTGAACAGACATAGCAACAGTTGTTGTTGTAAAACATGATTTGATCATTTATTTTACTTGATTAATATAGTAATTTTGCAAGTTGACTTTTTTGATTTAGAATATAATTACTAGGCAGTATACAGTACATTGATTTTTCATTGTCTTGTATTTATTTTGAAATGAGTTCCTAAAATTAATGCAACATTATTTTCTAATGTACCATAGTAAGACGCTGGATTAAACAGCTGTCAAAAGTTTAACACGACAAAGATGTTAATTTTGAAAAAAAAAAACGTATGCAGAAGCTCGCTTGGCTCAGCGGAACACTATCTACATAAATCTCTCCGGCATTGTTTATTGCGAGATATGTGGGAAAATTCACCAGGAAACTTTCCATTGGATTTATGGTTAAAAGTAATGTGCAAGAAACTCGCGTAAATCAGTATCGTTTAATGGGTCGACATAACAGTTTATTTAGGCGGAGTCTTTCGTAGCGGAGATGTTTAAGTGGTTCCCATACAATAGACATGATTTTTTTGCCGTTTTTTTATATAATGGTGCTCCGTACCATGATTTACACAAACCCTTCGTGCGCGAGTCCGACTCGCACTTGGCCGTTTTTTTATCGAATAAGGAGACAGACGAGGAATCAGGTCACCTGGTGGCAAACGATCACCACCGCCCATGGACTCCTGCAACACCGGAGGAGTCAAAATTGCGTTGTCGGCTTTTACTAAGCTATAGGTGTCTTCATTATAAACATGATTAGACTTAAACATTAAGCTAAAGCGTTTTCCACCTTATAGCCCACCGCCCATGGTCTTCACCACTAACCACTTATGGTTATTTGGGATTTAAGAACAAAACTTTAGCCTGACCATAAAATATTGTCGATGATTCGTGATTATATTTACTATCAAACACATTTCAAGCTTAAACTGTTAAAAAAGAGCTAAAAACTGGTCTCGTTTTATTCAGTACAAAAATAGGGTAAGTCGATAATACTTACTATCTAAACCTATAGAGTTCGAGAGACATTACTTAATTTAATAAATTTCGTATAATGGTCATAAAAATTGTAATTCATCTGTTATATTTTTATTCTATTTACTTTTATCAATTATTAGGTAATTGACAAAAGCTCTGATTGTGAATCTATCTCGTTCAATCTCTAGTTGACTTGGCGTCACAGAAGTTTAAAACTAGATTATACTCCCTTAGACCTACAATGTATCTGTTAAAACCAGTTAAGAACATGAGAAATATAAATTATAAGTAAGTAAATGGCGCAAATATGAGTCTTTATGTTTAGATTATGTATTTGTGCCATTTGCTGTTGAAACTTTAGGTCCTTGGAGTCCCCGCACATCAAAATTTTATAAAAGTTTATATCCTAGGCTAAACACCGCGGCTGGTGACAAGAGAGCTAGTTCTTTTCTCGCTCAAAGGTTAAGCATAAATATTCAGCGAGGAAATGCAGCTAGGGTTCTAAGCACCATGGACGGTTCATTATATAATTATATTATAGGTTTATTAGATAATATGTAATTTTACATAGATTTAATCTTGTAAATCAATAAACTGTATGTTTTTTCGTAATATAAGTTTATCATGCTCATTTAGCTTTCGGCGATTTTTCATAAAAACCATATAATTTATAATATTCGAGTAAAATTTTGCTTCTTTATTAGAGCGTGATAAAGGTGATATGGCAACGTAATGCGTATGAATATTTCGATTAATAGTTATAGAATTTCCGTTTATATATAGAATCGTATATTCGTAGATATGGTTTCCTGATAATTAACCATTACGAGCAATTTTATTTGTTACAATGGCTAATAAACACTTAAATTCTATTGCGTATATTTTTTTAACTGTTTCTCATCAGATCATGCATCGTTACACATGATTTATCGATAACAAAGTGACATAAAATGGCGGGCCAATATGGCGGCCGCATCAAAATGGCGGAACTAAAGAGTCCTCGACCACGTTTTATTGTCAGCGTTACGCGAAGGCCTGCGACCTATAAGGCCTGGGAGTATGGAACAAAGAGATAATTCATTACCCCCAAGGCTCCTCATTGTGTTTATTGTGTTTAGGCCATTAAATAATCGTGTTTGGAGATCATCTGTTCAAAATGGCTGGCCAAAAGAGTTCTGGTTGCCATCGGTGTCGTATAAGAAAACCTTTTAGAGCAACATTAGTTTTGGATGTAGAGAATTTATGCTCATCAAGGAAAGATACAAAGACCCATTCGCGTGCCTAAAGATTTCTAAAAAATCCTCAAGGATGTTGTCAAGTTTATGAGGCACCGTTAAAATATATGTTTCCATTGACCAACACTTAAGCAGGTATTTGGTTAGAATTGTGAAAAAAAGGGAAACGGAAAATTGTCTTAAACACAAGAATAGAAACACGTACCTGAAAAAAATTTGAAAAATGAAATAACGAGTACGTGTTGTGCCACCTCAGCACGTATTGGTGCGTGAGAAGGACACCATTGAGAGCTTTTTTGGTGACCTAGATCACCTGTTGAGGGAAAATCAGTTGAATTAATTCTTCCACTTTAAATAATGTTCTAAAACCATTAAGTTCTATATGAGCAAATGGTGTTTGCTAATAGAAATATTTCGTTAGAAAGAAGTGATCCTATATTACTATACTTAAAGATTACTTAAAAACATTTGTTAACATTACAGTTCTCACAAAAATTAGCTCTCATTGAGATAAGTAAATAACTTATTAATTTAAATTGACACCAATTTATTCTTGTCAAATAAGATAAATCCCCAATTGTTATATTGACTAAGACTACATACCATCACCAAGGTCTTTATTGCTTACAAAATAGTTTAATATTTATTATTTCTTCTATTTAATATTTGTTTAATATTTCTTATTTCTAGTAATGTTATCGTGTTTTGTTAACATGGTGGTTTCCTGCATATTAAGAAATCAAGATATTTATCTGTCGCGGAGCATTATTTGGATGGACATTATTTTGTGCAGTAATAATTTATAGGATTCTTCCTATACGGTGCGATATGACAATTGTTTCTACTGCAATAGCAAGTTGTAAAGATATTTGCCTGTGTTATACATATGACTGATATTATAAATACAGTTGTATATATATGCACTTTGATTCTAACCTGATGTTTATACACTTAAATTGTATTCTTAGTAAAGCATGTAATACGCTCTTTATTTAGAAGCTCTCAAAATTGTGTTATGTTTTTATCTGGAACCAAAAGTGACAACTTTCGAATCTAACCTATGGAATTTATTGACAAGAATGGTCCAACAATTACAATATTAATTTACAACTTCCTTCAAAATATGATATGTCTATTGATAATATCAAAATTTAATCACAAATTTTAATTATCGTGAGTCCTTAACAAGAAATCGTGAGTTTTTTTACGTATTTTATTATAATGGAAAAATCGCAGACGAAACTCCTAAATGCTGCGTGCTAGAATAATTCAATCCTTCCTTGTATGAGTCAGATTTAGATTTGTTTATTACCTATATAGTCAATTTTAATAGAAGCTTGAAAACAATAGCCTCCATCAGGTATCTTGTTTACCTATTTAACTATGTAGTATTTATATTTTCTTTGTTTAATTTTTTCTAAATCCTTTGGTATGGATGCTAGGAGAATTTTTTTCTAGTAGTCTGTTCCCGGCTATCTAGTTAAGTTTAATCTTTAAGTTTACAGATGTAAAGTAGATAATTCGGTCTGAAAATCCCTTCTGCTTCTTCGAGGTTTTTTAAAGTAAGCATAAAAACTGCTGGTACCCTGATGGTCATTTGCAACCAGCAGGTCTGTTGATGCTCTGTGACATTATAATAACTTTAGACTATATTTGTTACTATTGAGAAA